GAAAGGTGTCCTTTCATGCTCTTAAAATAAAATATCTGGCCTCATGCTAAACTCCCCTTGCCCTTTTCCATCACATCAGCAATCTGATTTTTCTCCAAACCCACAATCTTGATTTGAATGCTCTGAGCATAATTTTTGACTGAGCTTGCACAAAATAGAAGTAGGCTGATGTATTCTACCATTCTAGCAAAGATTTTCTTTCACTCCCACCTGTCTTCCTTCCCTGTGAATTACATATTAGGCTGTCATTAAAAAGAGATGAACTTTGCTCTGGAAATTTGTAACCCATTATTCCAAGATTAGTGACTTCAGATGGGGGATTGATGCAACCCCCTCCTGTAGTCAGCAGAAGGCCAGGCAGTTGTACCGTTCAGTCACTGAAACACAAAGAAACCCCAGTGTCCTGTTGTGGTTCTTTGCCTTTAGTGTCCTCCACGGAGCAACAGGCACTGCTGTGTCAATCTGCTCGGCACCGTCCAGTCCTTCACTCCAGAAGGTCATATTTCCAACACTGTTGGAAATTATTAGTTGCCATTAGCATGTAAACTAGTTTCTCTCTGCTCAGAGAAGAGACAAAGGAACAAGACTATATTCATTGTTGCTTTTAATCAGCTGCTGCTGGTGTAGCTCCTCCAGACCTGCTGTGGGAACACATACAGCTGGGTGAGGAATAAAATAGGCAAGTGTGCGTATGGGGAAGCCCAAGCATGTTTCATTTTTGAGTGAATTATGAAGCATAACTGAATGGCTTTCCCCTTGAAGATTAGATAGCACAGTTGCAGCTAGTCTCCCTAGAGAGCAAGAAGGGAGGAGAAGCTGTGCCAGACAGATGGCTACAGTAATTGCTTTTCTTTTTCTCACCCTGGGCAGAAAGCCTTTTGAAGCAAAACTGTAAGGTCTAATTCTTCTTCAGTGAAACTGGCCTCTGCTAGGAATTCAATTTATGGTAGTTTAAGAGGAGAACCAAGAATAGATGAACTGACTTGTTTGTTTGGGGTTTTTTTTGTTTGGTTTGGTTTGGTTTTTTTTCCCTCTTCCATCACATTCTTATTCACATTTTAATTGCCTTAGCAAATTAAATTAGTTCAAATCATGAAGAACTGTATGGTATGTGTAAGTACTCAGTTTTGATGGCCTATGTAGGGGATTGGCATTGTTTCACATAACACCATTTGATCAATTAAGCTTTTTTCTTTTTTTCAATTTTAGAGACAATTAAGACCACAGGAACAATCACACAGAAGCTGGGAAATGTCTGAGTCAAATTTGCCAAGATAAACATGTTCCAGACACTTGGCTGGTGTAGGTTTTGATATGATCTTGAATGGCATTGCTCTACAGACTTTATCAGAGGACAGGACTGCTCTGAGGTGATCAGGGGTTATCCAATCTCTTCTGTAGATATTGGCAAGTTGCAATGAAACAAGGCAGTTGTTAAGCTCTTGAGGCTTTTCAGCTTCCTGAAACCTTCCTATTGACCTCTGGGTCCCCATGTAGTGAATTAAAACGTGCCTATCCTCAATAGGTTTTTCTGAAGTAGTCTATGAACCTGCAGCTGTCAGCTCAATATCAGCTCATGTCAGCCTGAAGCAGGGTTTTCTCAGCTGGAATATCAGTCCCACAGGGAAGTGGTACATTGCTTCTGTCCAAGAGGCTGAACACCACTTCCTTCTGGCTTGTGGCTTGCAGCACACAGACCAGAGAGGCTGCAGAGCCTCCTGGGATAAAGTTAGTGGAAGATATAAATGGATTAATGCTCAGTAATGCTAGACAAAATGTCATGACTTTGAAACAGACCCAGACCTGTGTCTTTAGGTTTGCTTATAAGATTTTTTTCAAGCTTTTCTTTTAGTCGAAGGTTAAAAACTTCCTTCAGCAGCTCCAGGTAATGATGTTTCCAAGGGCTGTGACTTCTATTGCAAGCTCTGTGCTGTGATGGTGATACAAATTCATCCATGTTGGAGAGTAACTACCTTTGAGCACTCTCCTAGAAGAAGTTGCAAATGGGCAAATGGGACCTTGTGTGCTGTTGGGTACAGCTGCTGACATTTCATGGCCATGTGATCTGATTTGCCATTTGAGCTCATGAGGCACCTTCCTTGTTTGCTCAGATTTTCTCAGTTTCTTGCTAGTTTCTTCTGCTACAATTTCTTTTCCCAGCATGTCAGTGCGTGAGCTCTACTCACTTACTTGAATGTGTGATTCCTAGTCACCAAATGTATTTTGTACCACCTTTCTCATCATCATAACATCTCCTCCTGAGTGTGGGTTTTACAACAAATCCCATGTGTTTTGTCTTGCCCAGGCAGGGAATTTGATGAGAATTAATTGGCACTCTGCAGTTCTTGTTTCTGTTACTTCATCTGATCCTTACATCCCAAAATTCTTTGGGAATAAAAACGATATTTAGGAACCTGAAACCAAGCTATTTTTAGAGCAAGCTAATAAAGCTAATATGGGGGTGGTGGAATTTCTGTTTTGCTCAAGACTGGTTGATGTTAATGATACCTTCACATTGGGAAACACCAAATGCAAACTGAGGTACTGACAGGTTTGTCACCCTGGAGGGATGAACAAGTCTCTGAGAGGTGAGAGATGGTGGCACCTTTTCTAGTTCATTGTCTGTTTCTGTCGAGCCTCCTTGTGATTGTCTCATCCACTGCAGAAACCTTTACTCTATTTCTGCAACTTTTTGGCATAATCTCAGTCCTGGTTACCCAAACCTGAGAGTACCTGACTACCCGTGGGACTGCACAGTTGTCACAATATCTTTGTATCTTCTGGCTCCTGAAATCAGTAGTGTTTTCTTCAATGGATGCCCTAAGGTTTCCCTGTTCTGAGAGTCTGTTTTAATTATTAATTTGATTTTCTTTTCCCCTACTTCTGTGTTAGGTTTTTTTTTTTTTGTTGTTTTGTTTTGTTTTTTTTTTGCTTTTTGACTCAGCTATAGTCAGCTTTAAACACCCATTTTTCTCTCTTATGTCTCTGTCTTGCTGCCAATGTGTGGCTTGAAAAGGGCAAATCATGGTGAATCAGAAGTATTTCAAGTGTAATTTCTGAAGGCTGGTATAATTTTTTGACCAATGACCTGGAGATGCTGTTGAGAATTGTGTTCATAGGTTACAGGACCTTTTTGCTGTTGGTTCCTTGGGTGTAGTAGCTAATTCACTCCAAACAGGGCTGTCAACATGCTGTTCTGAAGCAGCTAGCAGAGAAATCAGGCTTATGGTATTATCTGCTTTCTAATAAATATTGTCTGCTTTCTAATAAATAACCCTGTATATTCAAAAAGATTTTATTTTGCCTTCCTTTTTTTGTTCTGCAGTTTCCCCCACAGATCCCATTCTGGATATGCATGGAGGAAACTGCAGCGTACAAAAGGGAAAACTTAAGGGGTTACTGTTATTTTGTTTGCTTTGGGAACATGTACTGGTCCCTGACACCAAGGTCTTTAGCTGTGATTCATTGCTCTGCTCTCCTGGTTGCTCTCAGCCACCTGCAATGTCAAGAATCAGAGAGCTGATAGACAGAATGGAAATGAAGGTCCCACATCAAAAACTTCACTCATTCCAGTTTGAGTTTTCCCCTTTTAAGTTCAAAGGGTGATTTTGCAGAATCAGCCCCCTTGACATTTATTATTTCCAATTGCTTGGAATCATTGTCTTTTCTTGTGCATCAGCCAAAATTTGTGCAACTTCTTTTCACATTGTGTGTCACTGTCTGTCTGGGAGAGAGCAATGACACAAGCCCTTCATCTACTTCATCTCAAGGCATTAGTGTACTCTTTGAAAATGAACAGAAAACTTTCCAAATGAAGTTGTGTCATTTAAAACCTAGAATCCCTAGTTCTGGAAAGGATCAGAGTGGTTGTCTGAAAGGAAGAGAGATGATATTTTGGGCAGTAGACTAAGAGGCAAGAGAAAGAAGCTAATCTCTAACCTCTCTGACCTCCCTCTCTATTTCAGGACAGTTGGTTTAAAACCAGGTGCACCAAAGTATTTCAGTGTCTGTATTGTATTCATATCAGTTAAGATCTTGATGCTTAAATAGGGCAGCTGCCTGCCTTCCCTCAGATTTATGATCTACCTGGACCCAGCTTCCTTCCTCCCACTTGTTGTCTGGGCAGTTAGAGGTGAGTTGTACAAAACCAGGACTGGTTGTTGTTCTGTAGCTGCACAGTGGCTAAAGGAGTAGTTACAGTAGGTGTTATTATAACATAAACCTTGATCCTGCCAGTTGACTTGGCAGATATTCCCCATAAATGCTGCTGCTCTAGACTGGAGTGAAGAGTGGGGAGAACAACTGGGTGCACCTGCTTCAGAAAGAGATCACATTAGTTCAGTGTGAGATTATAGTTGCTTGTCACTTGATAGATCACACAAAAGTTGTGGTGATTTTTCCCCAGCTACTTGCCAAGTTACTTTTTAACTTTTCAGTGTTTACTGTAAAAGAGCAGGCTTTGTTTTCATGAGAAGAAAGCCTCACAGCCCCTTATTTCCTCCTTTTACTATGTATTTGATTGTAGCGGAAAAAGCATCAGGAAAGGAAACAGTTCTGGATTGGTTGGTTACACAAAGTCCTCCGGCAGAGATCGGGGAGTCCGGGGTGGAACATAGCCCTGAATGTGGAATAGACTTCACTGTTTCATAGACTGAAAAGCTGCTGTACTGGGAGGCCAAATGCAGTGACTTAATATGAAACTTGAAGCAGTAAAGAGCAGGTGTCAGCTTGAGCAAACCTGTGGCAAGCCCTGGCAAATCTACTGGAGCTGGTTTATGGAAAGCTCTCTGTGAAACCACAAAGCAATAGCTGAAGTTAGTAGGCTGAAGAGGAGAGAGACTCTGTAAGTATCATAAACTTCTCCATGGTAGTCATATCTCAACCAATAGCCCAGCCAGGGTCTTTTACTGTGAGAGTCATGTTTGTTTAGCTGGGTTCTTAAAGGATGCAAAAATTGTCATAGAGGCTTTGTTAACTCATTTCTGTTCTCCCTTGCACAGATGAAATCATGCAGCAGGAGATACGGCCGTTGGTAGCAGTGGATATAATAGAGCAGCTCCACAGGCAATTTGCTATCTTGTCAGGTAAGAAGTTGCTAGCAATCACATTCCAGCATTCTCTTGGAAACATATTGGAATCTATCGTGCTGACTGTCACCCTTCAGCTCTGTACAGCAGTTGCAGTAGCATTTTTATATTGCTAATGAAAAGTGCTGTTACAATCAGATATTTGGGGTGTTTGGAACTGATAAAAGCCAAGTTGCTGTGCTTGTTTTCCTTATTCTCCACAATGGGCTGGGGAGAACAGATATAGAGGGTAAGAAATTAAACAAATCTTTAAACAAATCTTTATACACATATCTTTCTACAATGGCTGAGCATCTTGTTTGTGGGAAAAGATTTTGGTCTATCAGGGAGCTATTCATGACCTCCCCCTTCCTTCTCATTTGCCTTTGTTTTAGAAATGATTCATTGCTAAAGTGTAAGGTTCTAATCTTTTAAAGATATGATTATTACATATTCCTTTGTTTGCCTGAAGTTTGCAATCACACAAAGTGACGCAGTTCCTTTCCTGAATAAAGAGCTGATACTGAAATATTTGCTAGATTATTTAATACACTTATTTTGGATACTGTAGAAGGTGTCTATCATAGAATGGCCTGTGCTGTTGACTGCATGGCTGCTGGCAATTCCTTTTGTCTTTGTTTCTGCCTGTTCTGCAAATAAGGGAATTCAGAATTTGCTTTTTATCTTCCCCATAGATACACACTGAAGTATCATGAATTTACACAAAATGCTGAGATTATCATAAGAAGGTTCTCTTGAACAGCCTGTCCCTCTTGTCAGAGAGAAACACTGGGAACACAGTGCAGAGAGTGCACAGACCCAGCTCTATAAATGGTCAACTCGGCAGGCCGGCTCTTTGCTGCATCTTTGCATTTTTAAGTACATTCCAAGCTGCCAAATGAAATCCAAATCTTGAGTTACACAGAATTCTTTATGAGGCTCTGAGTATTAAAACCTCATTGGAGGCTTATAAGTAGCATCTTGTGACAGTTTAATCAGTTCAGTAACTAACAGGTTTGCATTAGGAAGAGGGTATTGACTGGTGGAACCAGCTGCCTTCTTATCTGCAGTAAAGCATCTCAGGGTCACATCTTCCTAGAATTCCTAATGAACACAAACCTCCAGGCAGGACAGTGTCTGTAACTGCATTAAATTGCTCAAACCTATTTCATCCCACTGTTGTGCTCAGTGCAGGATAACTAGAAATTGTTGAGAATTCCCTGCCTCACATGCAGTGCTTATCCAGTAAAATGTGGGGGGCTGCCATGTCTGAACCCCATTACTTTGTAACATTTGGGACCATTAATAAAAGCTGTATATGTCATGTAATGAGCAACTTGTGGAAAGTGGTTTACTAAACAGGAAGAAAAACCCATTTCCAGTTCTATCTAGAACATTAAACATGGAACAAAAATGTCAAGGGTAAACATAAAAAAGCATATTCATATTTCTTTATGCACTCAGCATTCCAGCAGTGCCTGTGTTCTCACCTGCTGTTTTAGCAAGTTCACCTCTTCACATTTGATCTAGTTCTTTTATTCTTGCAAGTGATGAGACAGATGTTTAAATAAAGCAATTTAAGTGTAAGCTGCTTAAAGACTTTGAAAATAACTCTTCATAGAAGGCAGGGCTGAGGGACTTGTTTGTTAGAGGCTGGCAAATAACTGGTTCATTGACATACAAGTGCTAATAACCAATAACAAAGGTGAGTGAGAAGGTGTCCTTCATGGCCCCATCTACATGAAAAACAAATCCCATCTGAAGAACTTTCAGGCTTATCTAAAATCTCCTCAGTAAAGTCCAGAAATAATAGTCTAATAAAAACCAAGGCAGTATAGTTCATAGTTTCCAAATTGTTTTCAGTCTGAAGTCTACAGCTAAATTTGGAAACCTAGGTGCCTCCACTCCAAAATCCCCATGGCAGCATGTGAAGAAGATCAGGAACATTAAATCATCTACTCAGAGGTCCCTTCAGCCCAGTATCTTATTCTGTTGGTGACCATAGGTAAAATACATCAGGAATCTTCCTTACTGTCCCTTTATTGCCTCCTGCAAGCAGAGGTTAAGGTACAAGCCAGAAATTCCTATACTGTTCAAAAATGCATTTCTCTAAATAAGTGTAACTTTCTTTTTCCTCTAGCAAAAGATTGGTTTTCTCATCCAATGAAAACAAATCTGGGCACTCTTCTGTCTCATTTCACTTATTAAAGTAATTCACACATAAATGACCTCATTTGATTTTGATTTTTTTTTCCAGATGGCTCTGTAGCTTTTCCTCAAAGCATGCTGCTTTGCTGCTTTTCATTAGGTACGAGCAACCACAAATATTTTGGTGCTTCAGTGCTTGCCTACATGGTGACTGAAAATTTGATACTTAGCCTGTTTCCTGGTTTTCCATACTGAAAGGTTGCAGTCAGTAGCCACTGTCTGGAAAAAAAGGTCTCACCATTGTTGGCAGTAAAAGGCAATCCCAACTTTCTTTTAGAGTGTTATGGACATATATTATGTTTTTCTGAACAACTTCATAACAGTGGTATATGCTGATTTATAGTAGATGGGGTTGCTGTAGCCCCCAGAGCACAGACAGACCTCTCTTCCATGCACATGCAGAGCTCAGAGGATGTAGCAGTGAGTCTGGTTTTTGTTGCTCCAGAGCCTCTGGCTTTGTCAAGCTCTCCTGTTCAGTCCTGTGGACCCCAAATCCATTTGTCCAGTGATAGCAAAAGTAACTGGTTGACTATTGCAAACTTTGTTATGAATGAGTATTTCTTTGGTTAATACCACCTTTTCAGCAACAGCTGGCAGCTAAAGCAGATGTAGTGAACACATAATATTCTCTTGCAGTAAAGCAGAAAAGAAAGAGGAAAGTGATTGAATCAAAGGCTCTTTGTTTTCTCTGGACATGACTCATTAGAAACACTTTTCTCCACTATTGCTGTGTGCAAACTTCCTAAGAGGACCTGACTGTCTTGCCATCTCTGAGCAGATGGTAGGAATTATATAACAAGCCTAATGAGTTTGGTGTTTGATTGTGCCAGGGTCTAGTTATAATGAGTGTATTAGCTACTAACAGCCTCCTGATTGTCTTAGCCCTCCTGACCAGACTAACCAAGACCTTACTGTCCATGCCAAGAACAGGGAAACTCTCCAAAGCCTTCCCTGGTCCACTGGGGTCATGGAAAAGGCTGCAGTGTAGTGTGACAATGTGCTTAATCACGTAATTTTACTTTAGTCATCTTTTTCCATGTGCTGATTTAGCCCTGCTTAGCTTGTGAGATCTACTAGGAGTACTGGTTCTTGTGGTTAAACTCTAGTTTTGAAACCACTACTGCCTCTCTCCTTTCCCTGAAAACCAACTCCCAGTTATGGGACTACAGCTGTGACAACACAGGAGTGCTCAGTTAGGTTTGTGTGTTTCCTGTAGGTGTTAAGGGAACTACATCCCAAAGTTGGGTACTACTGAAAACCTGGTTATTATCACACACCAGTTTTTACTGAAGAATAAAGAACCACTGGTACGATACCATTTCTGTCCTGCTGACAGACTAATAACCTGCTGTACCAATCTGCACTTGAAACTACTACTACCCCCCCTTTTTATCTGCAGCCTCACAACCTGTTCTTATCTGTAATTACTCTTTCAAAGAGCCCAATCTGCCATTTGCAGCAATAATGGATCTTGTTACTAAATCACGAATTTATTACACAAACTGTCATGAAGCGTATTAGCAGAGAGTCATTTTCTTTGTGTTCTGCTCCTGTTAAGTCAACAGGACTGCAGTGAATGGGAGACTATATCTGAAAATGGTAACTGACTCAGAAGCCAGTTTATTTAATTTCCAAAGCCTGGAGGGTATTTGGCCATCTGCTTCCTGTTTAAACTGAGCCTTTTGGAAAACCTGGCCTGACCTTGCCAAAAGGACAGCTTGGAGCTTGTATAAAAATTGAGACCCAGGAAGCGTGATTTAATAAGAATTTCAGCACTCACAACCCTTAATCAACATGAAAAACCAAAACAACAGAGCATGGAAAAAGCAAGACCTGACTAAAGCAGGGAAACTTCAGCCAAGACATCTCTGACCTTTTTGGCTGTCTGGCCTGGGAGATGAACTGCACTCAGAGCTGCTCTGACTCAGGGAGTTCTCTGCACGTGGGCAGGCCCGAGCAGTGACCTGCACGTGTCAGCAACATTTGGAAGAACACTTTCCAATACTAACTGATGAGTTAGTGTCTGTGGCAGGCTGGGGAGGTGTGCTCTGTAAACTTGCAGACAAACTTTTGGAACTTTTCCTGACCATGGCCTGTTTGTTGGGTTGGGTTTTTGTTTGTTTTTTCTTTTTTTTTTTTCCCCCGGGAGATTCAGCATATTTGGTGATCTCTAGTTAGGAGAGCTGCTGGCTATGGAATAGCACTTCAGTGTAGCCCCTGATTGTCTAAACCATGGATATTTTGATGCCCAGACAGGAGGCATAAGTGGGCTAGAACTGGGCAGTGGAAGATTTTCTAAGATCCCCATCGTGTCCAGGATCTTGGCCTGCAGTTGTGATTGCTTGCTGCTTTTACATCAGTCATACAACATGCAATGTCAGCTGTGAAAGCTCCCAAAATTCAGCACTCACACCTCATTTGTCAATCACACCCTTTACACTGCAAAGCAAAATTAAATTTTCTCTGCTGCCATAACCCTTTCTCTCCCATGTATATTCCTTGCCCAAGCACTTCAGCTGTTTTGTTTCCACAGCTGAATTCTGTCCCTGTCTTCACTGCAACAGCTATCCAGGCTGCATTGGCAGCTGGAAAGGCTGTCTAGTAGGGGCAACTATGAATGGTGCTCTGTGTTCTGGGACTTGGGGAATTGGCACACATAAGAGTGAGCAATGGTCCCATTACCATGCCTTGTACTACCCTGATACAGCTTGTGTGCTGTCTATCCTACATTTCTTTCCCTTTCACATTCACTCTGACTTCTGACCTGTCACCCAGGTTCTTCCTTTCCCTTTGCCCTTGGGCCAAAAGTGAAGTGGAAAAGTTGAGCAAGAAGCTGGAACGGAAAATAAGGAATGTGCCTAGGAAGAGGAGGAAAGGGGTGCTGTCATTCTCATTTGGAGTGGCAAAGCAGGCACAAGGTCAAGTTGACAATAATATTTTCCTCATAAGTCTTGCCTTTTTTCGAGCAGCTCAGCCTCTGCTCATGTTGTTTGACTCAGTCATGCTCCAAGTTGTTGAGTTTGATGCATCTCTGATCATCTATCAAGGTTTTTAACCAGAATGCTCTTCTCCGAGCAGCGGTGGGTCCCTATCTTTGACACAGTGAGTTTGGGTTGGATGCAAGGCAGGATGTCATCTGCAGAGGGAGAGAGCAGAGAGAGGGAACTCCTGAAGGAACCTGAGGGAGCTAAACCAGGTCAGCAGCATGTGTTACATTTGTGGGTGCTATCTAGGAGGGGAGCTCCTAAGAGGTGGCAGACAAAATCCTTTTGGGTTTCCTGTGCGGGCAAAAGTATGGAGCTACTTATACCCCAGAGCAGTCTGGGGTCTGACAGAGGAGCAGTGACCCACGGGAGACTGCCTGTGGGATGACCTGGCTTCCCTCAGGCAGATTCAGGAGTGAGCCTCATGTTAGTTCAGTTAACAGGGGATAACCCTGAACCTCCCCTGCTGCCAACTGAACCTCCAACTCTTGTGACTGCTGCTTGCAATGGCCACTGCCACCAGCTGCTGTTTCCCTGGCTGGGCACCAGCACTTGGAGCTGTCAGGAGGCATTGGAAGTGGCTGGGTTGCCTGAAGGGTGGCATCTAATGGTGCCTCGAAGAGCTGCAAGTCGGAGAGGCAGGCCTGTGCATTGCATGAAGACAGCTGCCAGGTATGGCCACACTCTTGATATCTAATTTTTAGTGTGGCTTTGTTTCTGTTTCTGACTGCACTAAACTCAAGGTATTTCTTGCTTCTCCCATTGGGCTCTTTAGCTCAGTTCATGCCTCATGTTGCTCTGGCTTCTCTCTGAGCTTCTTTGCTCCTGGCAGTCCTTGGGCCCCCTTAACCCTGCTGGAATAGAGCAGACATACCTCAGGTAGCCATAAGGTAACCTCTCTGACCTCTCTGCTGTCTTCATGTGGCTCACTCTGTTCAGCACTTCTGTCTCCTTCTTCCTGCCCTCACTTTCTAGTTGAAATATCTTTTTTTTTCTTCTTTTGAGGACTGTCTTTTTTCTTTTGGCCTTCCATGGAACTGCTGGAGCTTGTCCTGTCCCTGTATGCCTGACTTATGATGGATTGTAAATTTTCCTATTTAGCAATTAGACTCTTCTCACAAGTGATCCTCAGGAGCATAGGGGTTATGCACAGCCCCATCAAGCACAAGGATTGTATACAGAGAGTCCTTGGGGCCAAATTCCATGTACTTAGTCTTTGTGGCTGTGGAACTGATTGAAGGCTGTCCCTGTTGGTTTTTACTTTGTGCTCTCTGTCCTTCCAAGACATTGAGTTGTAAGTATCCAGCTAAAGTATTTCAAGGACTGGAAGAAATCATGTGGGAACTCTCTAGAAAGCAAGGTTGATGGCCCTGAAAAGAAAGGGCTGCAGCTTGTCAATTTGCATTCTGCAGAAATTTGCATACTGCAGCAAATCTTGGTTTAGTGTCAGGGGGAAAAATGGCATTAACATTTATTTGTATGGAACTGCTCTCTCATACAGAGGAGAGAGTTTTCCAGAGACCCTTGATATTTAAGGAGCTTCCCTTATATCCTTTAACATCTACTCTGGTTATCTTGCTATATGTAGGGATAGATGGATATAGATTGTTTACCTTTGTAACTCAGCTACTGCTTGAGGTTCAGATATGGGCAGGAACAACCCATTCCTAACATATTTCTGTTATTGCTTGTCACTCAACAATTCAGATATTCCTGCTCTCCTCTTGTCATAGTATTTAACAATTTCTAATCGCGAAACTCCCTCAAACTTCACCCTAATTTCCTGGTCTGGCAGGAACTGAAGGTTTCCTTGTTTGTTTCCCTGTTGGAAATACAGCTGTACTGAAAAACCTCTGAGTGTTCTGGTTTGGAGAATGAGATGGAGCCCAGGAGCTGTTAAGGGTGTGTGGCCTCGTCAGAGGCAGGAGTTTCTCACTCTTAGCTGAATGTTCAGCCTTAGGCTGCTCCTAAGTGTCCTAGATTTGTTCCCAGTGGTAAAGGGAAGAAGTCAGTGTTCAGTCTGCCTACATTTTTCCTTGGAAGACTTTTTATAGAAGATCTGGTCATAAAAATACTTAGCCACATACATAGAGTGCATCATCAGTCTGCCTCACCTAGCTTGGGGAAGAGAGGCCAGAGGAAGAAGAGCACATCTACAAATGCAGATACAAGAGAATAAAAGGGATGCAAAGAACCCTGGTCTTGAGAAGCCTTAGAAGTACCATTTGAAACTTGTAGTTTAAGCAAATCTTGAGTATAACTGCAGGTAAACAATCAGGCTTTGAAGGAGGGGATTCTCCAGTGGCAAATACTACTGCTTTAAACCAAAATATTGCACGTTACTACGTCTCCCTCATTTAAAGTATCTTCACATATTTGAAATACGAGAATGGGAAAGCTTGGTGCCCAGGAATCATGTGAATGCTCATAAGATACCAACCATGAAATACCTCGGCATGCACTGAACTCTGCATGAAGAGACAGAGCAGACAAGCTCACTGTTTAATTTTCCTGGCTGTTACTGTTTGTGTCCAGGAGATGTCACTGAGAATCTGTAACAAACCAGCCTAAGTGGGTACTGGCTGGTTGGAGTTCCTGGTCTCTAGAGTGCAGCAGTCTGGGGGAAATCTGACTGAATTTGCATGACAGCATATTCTCTGTCACTGCTGACTGCAGACAGTGCAGCTGGAATGCCCTGGGATCCAGCTGCTGTGCATCAGCACTTGGCATCATCCCAAGGCCAGTGTGGAGGTCAATGTGGAGGCTGTGGCTCTGCTCAACATTTGAAATGCAATTCAGTGCAGTGTGAATGATGGTATTCTTGCTTTGCATTTTGGCTGAAAGCCTTTTCAATCTCTGTAGGCCTGTTTTCTTCCTAGCGGGGTCAGTTTAGTGGATGATCTCACTCAACTGAGTCATTTTCAGATGTAATTAAAGCAATAAGCAACCTTCAGAAAGGAAAATAGAGGCTAAAGGTAGTGTGCTGACAAAGCCACCATGGTGTCAAGAAAGTGGGAGGATTGGGCAGAGGCAGGTTCAGGACTAGGAATGGACTGTCCCCTCTACACACAAATAGCTAGGAGTTCCTGGAGCACCTCTTTGCAGTGATCACCAACACAGGAGCAGGAGAAACTGGCTTGTGGCACCAGCTGTGGTTAACAGCAGGGAAATGCAAGGAGCAGCCTGGAAACAGGGTTTATTTGTGGGGATTTAGAGGGTACTTTCGAGGATTGAGAACTTATTTTTTCCCCCCCAACTGATTCTCTATTTCCTCCCATGCTCCTAATGGGATAATTTATTGGATATTTTCCTTGAGGAAGGTAATTTACTGTCTCCCTCTCACAGCTCTCCCTTCACTAAATGGAAGCCTATGACATGGCTATTCCATGGGCCATGGAATGGATAAATAATGGGTGGGTGATAAATGATGAGAAAATCTCTGTGTGCTGCAGGACTACCCTCAGTATTGGGCTGTAGAGAATTCCTGAGCCTGATGCAAAAAAATGGGTTTACATAGAGATTGCAGAGAAAGAAGAAAGACTCTGGAAAAGGAATGTCCTAAATGTCCTATCTAAGGAGAACTGAGCAATAAGATACTTGTAACAAATGCTTTGTTTCATCCTGTTCCTTTATGTGCTCGTGCCTCATTAGTGAGCTCTGAGTCCAAGCTGGGGAGAAAACCTCTCTTAACTTCTGTGTGGTTGGAGCAATGCCCAGATTTATTAGCAGAACCAAGTTAGGATTGTACTGTGTACTACAACAGCTCCTAGAGCTGAGCATCGTGTCAGAAGAACTGTAAAGGCTGCTTTGTTATGAGGGACTTGGCTCCATGTTTCCTATAGCTCTACTAGTGTTTGGATCAGGGAATCTCTCAGAAAGAGACTCCTCTTGACCTTGTTGCTTATGACCCTCCTGTCCTGTTTAGTAGAGGTTTGATGCATATAAACAAGACAAGAGCAAAATTTGTTGATTAATTCCTCCATACACTTTGAGTGTCTTCTTGTTAAAGAAAGACCTAAGACCAGGTTGGTCCCAGGCCTTGTCAGGGGTTATATGTGTGTATTCAAAGCCTGTATGCCTGGTTATTTCATTTCCTTTAATGTCTAGAAGGAATCAGAGAGTGCTGTACTTATACGTAGACAAAAGTTTTAATATTATCACAATGAATTACTTGGAAATGGATAACAAAGAACCAAAAAGCACTTAATCAGAATTGTGAAGAAGGTTCCCAAAAAAGCTGAGAATAAACAGAGGCTAGAATCTCAGCTGGAGTCAACTGAGGTAATGAAACTACAGTGAGTTATAATTTCAAATGGGAAGCTGATTCATGTTTACTGGATGTGGATGCTTTACAAGGAGGAATATACCATTGAGTACTGACCAGTCTGTCCAAAGGCGTAAAATCACCCTCTAAACTTTGCAATTTCTCTTTTGCAGGAGGAAGAGGGAAGGATGGGGCACCCATTATAACCTTTCCAGAATTCGCAGGATTCAGTGAAATACCTGATGAAGATTTTCTGAATGTGGTCACGTATCTAACCAGCATTCCCAGGTGAGGATAAGCACAAGTGTCTGTTGATGTCCTAGAGAGTTTTACTTCCCCAGTGGCTCGCTGCTTTTAGTGATGCTACCAGGATGTACCAGTGACCCTGCATCTATCCAGTCATTAGGAAACTTCCCTACGTACAGGGGGCCCAAGGAACCGTTTTCATGATTTTCATTGGAAAGAAAGCTTCACACAGGGCAGGTTGAGCTGGGTGGGAGGGGTTGTAGATCTGAAGAGCAGCAACAAAGATGGCAGATCACAGGGGAGCTAAGAGGGGCTGTTTGTGAAAACCCTCAGGGGACCTGGGTGCAACAAGGGAAGGATTGCATCTAGAAGGAGACAAACTGGCAGGGTCCTGTGACTGCTTATTTTCTGAGTGCATCTTTCTGTGCAGCTTTCCCTTTTCTGAGAAAGCAAGTGAGGTGCTCCACTGACAGGATTCTGGCAAGCACCATGTGCATTCTGATGCTTTGTTTCTTTGGAGATTGCTCCACAGCTAGGATGTTTTCCTTGCTCTTTGCCTGCAGTTGTGGAAGCATAGTGAAACAAACTGACTTCCCCTGCTCTGAGGATCTGTGCTGAGGCATGGCTGCTGAATTACTTCTTGTTTATCTAAGAGAGCTTAATATTTTTTCAGTCCTCGATCCTGTCTCTGAACCATGGATGCTTGTGCTAGTTAGAAGCAAGCAAGGATTTATTATTTCCTGTGGTTTAGTGTAAAAAGGTGCTTAGAGGATCATAGGGGAAAATGCGCTCCTTCAAGTTTGAGTGAGAAGTTTTCCAGCTCCACCTACATGTATTCCCCATACTGACTTGCCAAAGCAAGCTGAGAGAAACCACACACTGTGAATTTAACAGCTTCATTGTTTCACTCTGCTCTGTGGGGCTTTTGTTCTGCAGGAGAAACTCTGTCTTAAGTATTTCTTCACTAGCTTCAGGACTGGGAGGGTGACCAGCCTCAGGGTTCATAAAACACCAATAGTAGCTGCAAAAAACATAAGACTAGTTTTTCAGTTCTTTGTACTTGGTATGCTGGGGGGTGATTCCCAGTAAAGTTGTCACATGTTGGGGAACTAGCATGTTGCATTGTCAACATGATAGACAGAAATGCTTTATGCTTCTTCAGCCTGTGTGAAACCCAAAAGTACAGATGGTTCAAAAGAAATAAGCCAAATTCATGAAGGATTGCTCCATCAATGGCAGCTGAACACAATGGCTCAGATGCAAACTCGGGCTGAAGAAATCCATTTATTCCTCAATGCTGGGACTTGGGAGAATATACCAAGAGAAATATTGTCCTTCTCATTTTCCTACTGCCTTTGTCTCAGTAGCCACTGTCTACTAACACTGGAGTCAGGGTATTGGGCTGGATGGATCTTTGCTTTGATTCAGTTTCAGTTCTGTGTTTTCTCTTCCCCTGAGGAATCCCAGAGCAATGTGCAAAGAATGATGAATTGCATTTCAAAACTTTGTAGGTCAGGAGAGCTGCAATATGCCCATTTTACAGATGATGAGTTATGTGTAAGTAATATCTCACACTACAGACAGGCTCACCAAAACCTGTGTTGAGTAAGTGACTGCTCAGATTGCTTTAAATGACTCATTCAAGGTCAGTGATTGGGGTTTGAAGGTATATTTTCTGCATACCAGCACACTGGTTTAACTCTTAGGTTCAATCACAGATCACACTGCAGGGATATGAGTTTTCTGTAGAGTTTTCTAGTCTTTGTTGCAGTGCTTTTAGAAAGATTGACTACATTTCTTGAGTCACTGTTTGAAACTTGTCACCCTCTATGTAGATGGTGAGGGACAAAGATGTCAATTTAGAAGAGGAAGAACCTGAGCAGCAAGCTTTGGTTATGTGATTTATGACATAATTATATGAAGTACTATCTTAATATGTCATAAGTAGTGGACCTGTTTGGGTGCAGCAGAGCCTTGTTAATCTGCAGTTGGCAAGTCCATGCACACAGAAAGCACTAAAGGGACTGCATTGTTACCTTCATCAGCACTACTGTGCTATATACTGCTGTGTGTATTATAACAGCATTCCTGTGCATGTTGTTTCACTGTTTTACTTCAATTTTCAAGAAAGATGAGAAGGTATCAAATGAAGTGACTAAGAATAGAGAATAGTCTCTAACTCTTCTGGAGTTACAAAGGGTATGGCCATGAATCAGGTAAGATGAAGTATAGTTTGAAAAGCAGTTCACCCTGTTTATCCTAGAAAGTACTTCCTTCTTCGGAGCTTAGTGAACCAGAGAAATCAGCACACCAAAAGAGGTCAGGAAATTCAACATCTCCTGGCCTCCTCAAGTCAGTGTTCAAGGGCTAACCCAAATTCAGAGCTGAAGATAGTACAGCTCTGCTGATTGCACATATTTCATTCAGGGAAAGGGAACCTCTCTGCCAGACATCTGTAGATCTGGGCAAATGTGCCAGAATTTATTTTGGAGGTAAGCTTGATGTCTGTCTGCTGCTCAGGATTGTCTTCAAATCCTTCTTTTCAGAGAACTGGAGAAACCCCAATGCGTTTTCATAAGAGATATTACAGTAGTGACACTGAGAAAACAGTGATAGAATTTGAGTGTCTGGGTGTCTGTATTTGTTTTTAAACAAACTCCCTTCCTCTGGCTACACACACAAGTGAGGTTTCTCAGCTGTACATCACTTGTGCTGATGCTTCCATCTTGGCTAGGCCTCTTCCCATGGCTGTTTGCCTGCATCCATTCCTCAGTGCCAAATGACATTCAGACCTTGGTATGGCCTTTCAGCATGCTGACTGAAATAGGATCGCTTGCTGACACTCTCTCTGTTTCCCTGGCTAAATTTAGGATCTAAATCAGACCTATCTAGTTAAAAAAAAAAAAAAAAGAAAAATACCCACCAAAAAAACACCCCAAAACCAAGCAAACAAACAAAAAAAAACCAAACCAGAGGTGCCACCTGGGGGTCTGGAGGCTGAGGCTGATTTTCCCAGGCCTTTCCTGCCTACCAGACTTCCAAAGCAAATTTTGGTTCCAATTAGCAGAATCAGTTTGATAAATCCAATGCAGATTTTTAGGTTGGTTAGGAAGACCCCAGGCTGAGAATTTTGTGTTTAGTTTCTTACCCTTCCAGTAACAATCTGCAACACACGCAATTTCCTTGTTGCCTTCTTCTGAACCTTTTTTCCCTGATGCGTACATACCATGCTGGTGACTTTTTTCCTTGAAATATTTGTCAATGCATACAGTTGTGTATATATAAGAGGAGAAACAGATGAAGTCTCTTCCCTGTGCTTGAGGGGCACTGCTGCAAACCACCTTTTCTGTCCTCTGCATAGAGAACTGCATGTTGCACTACTAAAGAGGAAAGGTCATGTACTATCATTGAATTTTATAATCCCCAGAGGATGCTGTAAAAATATTGAAGTGGGAAGTTCAGTGTGTTTTCCTGTTACCAGTATGAATTATTGGGAAGACTCACATGGCATGTCAGGTTTGCCAGAGACTTTGGCTTTCAGGTTGCTGTTCTTGATCCAGCAGAGGCACAGCAGGAGCTCAGAGTTGCTACTGTTGGTGGTCTTAGTGGATTATTGACACAAGTTTGCACAAAATAAACCCATGAAAAGTCCTGGGTTGCTCCTTGTATGGACAATGGAAAAGGAATCAAGGAAGTGCTTTAATAATTTTTTTAAATTTTGATCTGTGGGTAGATGTTTGATCGCAGTATATCCTTTGATTATGACATTTATACTCTTCCCACTTGCCTCTGGTTTGTTCTGAGATGACTGAGCCATCCTCCTCCAATGAGGTTTCTGGACACTTTTCTCAGTGTGTACTTCCAAGGACTTCTCTCCAATGCTGAATGCTCTTGGAAAGCAGAGAGTAGAGCAGTCACTCTTGAACCCCAGAGTGGGATTTTTGAGAGGGAAAGAGAGGATGTGGTATTTATGAGGTCTACATACGTGGGATAGAGCACCAAATCAGTGCCTCCTAGATCCTCCTTTAAAAGCACTGAGAGGTACCAGGAACTGTTACCTTAGACAATATGTTAAAAGGATAGTTTTGAATGACTTGCAACCCTGGAATGAGTTTGTGATTGGCAAGATAGAATTCTTCAGTTTCTGCTTTGTCTATCAGAATTCCTGGGGCTTTTGTACACAGCAAGGTGGTAACAGTCAGGGGATATTGACCCCCAGGAGCTCAGTGCCCCTGTCAGATGTCCGCATACCTGGAGAATGAAGACTGAAGTGGGGTGTCTAATAGCTTGAATTATTTTGCAGAGAAAACAGGATCTGAGGGTTTTGTCTTCAATACAGCACAGTGGAATTTGTGATCCTGAACGATTCATGTCACCTAGACTGGCAGTGGAGTAGCTCAGCAGCTCAGAGATTTAGCAGATAAAATATTCATGTTTTGTGTAAGCTGCTAACCTTACACTGGAAAGAGAAAATTTGCTGGCTTTCCCTTTTGTGTGAATTTCAGCCAAATATTCATTCTTTCCACTGTACGTTGTTTTCATAATGAGCTCAGAGGGTGATCTGAAGGAGGCTGTGTTTTGCTGCAGTAGCTCTTCCTTGGAATAGGAGTATCTCTGTGTAACCCTGCATACCTATTTCATCTGTTTTGCAGTCTGGAGGCTGCCAGCATCGGATTCATCATCATCATAGACAGACGACGGGACAAATGGAGCGCAGTCAAAGCATCCCTGACACGGATAGCAGTAAGTGCTTGCTTTTGTTATTTATCTTCTGGAAATTAAAATTGTCTGCTGAACCTTCAGCACATGATATAGTCTCCTGTGCTCATTTTAAGCTCCCATTTTCTGGCCATGGATGCAGACTCTCCCCTGCCCTGAAGCTCATGACTGTTAAATAAGAGAGGGAGGAAGCTGCAGGAACAAATTACACAGCCTTGTTTACTGCTGAATTAGGACAAATTCCTTATTTTCTGGGTTGACTGCAATCTAAATTCTAGTAATTTTAAGTTGGTTCCTAGAAGAGTATAAGAGGTCCCCTTCTGTGCCCTGAGGAGGAATTGATGTGGCCTGCTTATGAAAGAAACAGATCCCAAGGGACTTGTGTTTGCATGGTAGTAAATGATCTCTGTCAGAAACTCTTAATGGCTTATTATATTTCATTTGCAAAAGTCAGAGCTGGGCACTGATTTTCATTGCTGAGAAAAGCAGCTGCATTTATACATCTATTACCAGGAATGTGCAGTGTGAGGAGCAAGCACTTATACACAGAGGTGCAGGATGAAGAGATGACAAAGGCAACTTTAAGTTCTTTTGAGGTATTTAGACAGAATTGTTTTTTATTCTCAGGGTTTTTTTAGTTGCTCTCTTTGAGTAATTGTTCTTTTTTTATGCTTGATGAGCTCAGAGGAGTGTGTGAAGAGATGTAGGCTGGGTGTTGCAGGCAGGGCTATGTCTTATGAATGTGTTGAGTGTCTGCATGTGTGTAAAAATATGTGAGGTTAACAGCATTCAAAACTCTTTGCAGAATGAGAAGGTAGGTCAGCCTGGGGAATCCATCTGTGCCACCAGCTTCCTTCACCACGTCAAATGTGGGCAGCCAGCTTTGCCCTCTAGTGGCAGCAGCCCAAAAAAATGGAAAAACCTATGGTGTGGAGGTGCAAAGGAGCTTGGCAGGGTTCAAATCTGGGGGAGAAAGGCCCTTGTCAGGAACTTTGTAGCTCTGTGATAAATCCACATCAGAAAACAGTGTGTGGCTGGGCAGTAAAATCCATGGGCCAGTCTTCCTGCTGGCTTTGGAGACAGTGACAATGGGCACATGCAGAGGGGACCAGCTGATACAGTGAGCAGCTGGACTGAGCAAGATTCAGCAAGTCTTACCTACTTTGCCCTGTTTAGGAAACACTTGGCTGAAAATTCCCTAACAAGGCAGAGTTGACCCTGCTAATAGTTCTGTATTTCTTGCAGGGAGCATTTCCAGGAAACTTGCAGCTGGTGTTTGTCCTGAGACCCTCCCGCTTTATCCAAAGGGCGATCGCTGACATTGGCATTAAACTCTATCGAGATGACTTTAAAATGAAGGTACCGGTAAGCATGCATTTTTTGTCCATGTGTTTTCTCCATATCTGCAGTTCTTGGGTCTCAGCAATTTCTCATAACCCAGTAACTGAAATGTGATTGCAAGTGGCAACTGGGGACTTTCATTTGAGTCTGTATGATAATACCTGTATGGTAATGCCAAAATGTTAATTAACAGTGGATGCTTCACAGTATTGAATGGACATGTTCCCACATGGCAGGTCAGTCTAGCTATAAAATGTGGCTCAGTTTTTAAGTACTGACATTTTAACTCAGTGGAGCTGTTCCTCTGAAGTAGGCAGAGGTAGATCTCATTCCAGTGACAAACGTTAAGTATTGAGGACTACAGAGCAACAAAAGGCTGGGGTTGAATTCTGCACTATTTTATGGATTATCCATGGGACTGCTGACTTTGTTAAGTGCTTCCAAAGCATTTCCTATTCTGAATACCTTTTATGATCTCCAGGCCCTCAAGATTCAAAGTTTGTTTTCTGTTTCTTTTTATATTCACTTGGCATATGCAACAGGTTGATGAGACTGTGATTTGAAGAAGATTATCAATCCTGAAAGAGTTCAAGTTTTAGGTTATTCTATGAGAGCTCTTTTGGGAGTTGTTCCTAGCTGCATGTTTGCATGTGGTTTCAAGTGTTTTATAAATAGACTTGAATTATGATTATTGATGATATTTCATCCTGGACCAGACTCATACTGGGTTCTGTAATGACTTTACTGTAGGGATTCATATGACTCTTTTGGATTTTACTTGTGGTTTCGTATTGTTTTGCAAAAGACTCATAGCTCTCCACCAACGAATTCTAGCTCTGTCAATACCCAAGTTTGAAGTTCAGATGTTTAAGACACCTTCTGCTTCTTCTGAATGAGAGACAGCAGCCTATTTATTACAGTGCATACAGGAAAGGAACCATGAATAGGCATCTGGTTAATGTGGACTAAATTGTAACATTTACTGTAGTTTGGCAAGCGTGCCTTTATGGTAAAATGCAAAAGTGATGAAAAAATATATCTTTGAATCCAAACCAAAATATCTTATAGTACTTCAAAAAATGGATGTTCCTGTATTTAATAAGCCATGATCTGTTACTATAGCAACTATTGTAGCAGCAACTGCAGCCCAGAAAGGGCAACCTCATCAAGGATTAGCATTTTCCAACAATTCAGCATCTTCCACACTTTTAGCAATTTATTTGATGACAGTGTTGCATTTCAAATCCAATTTGAAAGAGATGGAAGTTGGAAGAAAGGTTAATTCTAGGCAGAGGTCAAGCACTGCATTAAGTATGAAATAGTAATTTATCTTTCTTACAAGCAGGAAAATCAAGATATGAGTTTAGTTTGCAGTTATCTTGGATATTCTGATTTTGAGACATCCCGGGTATGTCCACAGAGCTCTTAGAAGAGCAGCCTTACAAAAACTAAGAGTCTGCCACGCTCTCTGGAGGGACCTTTCACCTGTGTTTGCAGTCCCATCCTAAAAATACCATCTGGACATGCCCCTGTGTACCTGAGTTTCAGAGCGGGGAACTTTTAGGGATCAGTGCCTATCTTCAATATCACCATCATCTTTTAAATTGTTTACAGGTTGTTTGTGTTGTGAGTTTGGCACTATGGCAACATTAATGTCATAACTAGGCCATGGATGGGTGGTATTTCCTATCACAACTGTAAGCGAGTCAGGACCAAGACATGAACATTCAAAAGGAGCTCCAAGAATATTGTGTGCATTTGTCAAATAAACATTTGTTTAATAGTTTATCTGAGCTATCAGACTGCAAATATGTTCAGTAAAGTAGATTTGCTGGGTTAAATCAACACTGGATTGAGTAGGAACCAGAAGATCAAACAGGAGCTGGAAATAAAGGCTGAAATAACAAACCAGACAAAATAAGGAAATGCGGATTTATATCACATTGGCATACAAATGTGGTTCATAAAACCTCATAAAGTAAATCTTTATTGGGATAGTGATTTGATTAAATATCCTTATCCAGGAGCAAGATAAAGAAATACAGGAGACACACCAAGGTTCATCTGAGATTAAATTCTGGAAATTCAAAAGGAACACACAGAGATTTACCTAAGGAACCTGCCATCACAGGAAATGAATTAAAGCATCCTCACAGCATACACAAAAGGCTGAACAATCTGTCCATAGCAGGGACTTCTTTGACCTTTGTAGACTATGACTTCTTTCAGGTGTCCTAACCCATCATGAAGCAGCCTCACCACAATTCTGTGTTCTCTGCTGACCTGCTCATGCAGACCCTCCTCTCCTAAACTGCTGCTCCCTTGCAATCTCAGCTTACTGACCGTGACTGTCTTTAGGCTGGCAAGCAGTGTGGGAGATGCTAATGCTCTCTAAGATTGGTTTCTTAGATGGATGCTGGATTGCTCCTAAGCTTTCTCCTGCAGAAATGCCTGCAGGGTGAAGACCCTGTACACTGTTGGGCAATATTAGCCAGCAATATTAATAAGTTTGCTTTGTGGCTCATTCTGACAATATTAGATTAAAGCAAACACAAAATTCTTCTTAAAAGGGAAGTGCATGACAGTGTTCCTCTGTAGTTTTAGTGAAGTGTGAAGTTTAAAAAGATTTCCAACTTGTCAGCAACATCTCTGGTGAAGAAGAACTACAAAGCAGTTGAGACTTACTTTCTCAAATGTAATTTGCAATTCAGAAGTAGTACATAGATGTCAAGTTCCAGTCTAAGGACCCTTCAAGATGATGCAGCTTTTTGAGTTTTCTGACTTTGATCATAACAAGCAGTGTTTCGTAACACATTCAGGTAACAGCTTTTCCTCTAGCTTTGGCTGAGGTACTCTGCTTTCTTCACCAACAAGGTCTCCTGGCTTCTGTGTTTAGAGATAGAGTTCAAGGAGAAGATGAACTGCTGGAAGTGAAAAAGAATTGATTGAGGGCCTACTTGAGAACATTCAGCCTGTACAGGTCCACGGGGCCAGATGCATCTTCCACTGCATTCTTGTATCCAAGTTAGGTTAAAGTCTGGATAGATGGACAACTAGATGTGGATTTAAAAACTAGTCTCATGATGGGCTCAGAGGGTAATGATGAGGCTCATGCTCTACCCGTAAGTGGGTGACAAGTGGAGTGTTGTAGTGATTCCTGCTGGCACCTGCCCTGTGTAATATCTTCATCAATGACATGGAAGAGGCAACAGGCTGCACTGTCATCAAGTGTGCAGGTGACACTAAACTGGGAGGAGCAGTTGATACATTCCAAGACAGAGTCACTGCAACAGAAGCTCAAGGAATGGGCTGATGAGCATATTATGAAGTACAAAAGGGACAAAGCAAATTCCTGCAACTAGGAAGGACTTCTTCCTCAAGAAAGAAGAATCCATGTTCTTCCCTCCCAGCAACACAACAGTGTTGTGTTGTTGACAACAATGCAGACTGTAGCCTGACTATCTGGGGAGCATTTCTGCAGAAAAGGACCTGGGAACTTGGTAGACAGTGAGCAGGACATGAGCCATAGTGTGCCCTGGCAGCAAAGGAAGTCATCAGCATCCTGCATTAACAGGGGCAGTATGAACAGGACCATAGTCAGCAGGTTGATACAAGCACTTATCCCCCCTTACTTGGCTCTCATTAGATCGCACTGAGATACCTTGTCCAGTTTTGGTTCCCCAAGTAAAAGAAAAATAATAATCTGGAGTGAGATCAACAGAGAGACACCAAGAAGGTCAGAGCTTGGAGCATGTGCTCTATATGAAGATGCTGAGGGAACTGGGCTTGTCTACCTTGGAGAAGGGAAGGCATGGGAGGGTTAATATGACAAACCAGCAGCTTTCCAGTTCCTCCAAGATGGTCACCAAGAGCACACAGCCAGGCTGCGCATGACAGTGGGACAAGAAATAACTGATATAAAGTGAAACAAGAGCAGTTCTGACTTGGTATAAGGAAAAACTTTTCCACCACAAGGATAATCAGGCAGCAGACCAGACTACCCAAAGAGGCTGTACAATCTCAATCCTTAGATGTTTTCAAATCTCAAGTGGATAAAGCCTTGAGCAACCTGGTTTGATCTCACAGCTGACCCAGCTTTGAGAAAGAAGCTGGACTAGAGATCTCAGGTTCATGCCAGCCTGAATTATTCTAGCATGATTCTGTAACAAGGATCAGCTAAAAACCTGTTCAGGTTTGTTCTCAAGGCTTTTCCTAGAGCATTATTAACCTAGAATGCACATCCTCTTGTCTCTACATCTTCACTCATCTAATTGTCCAGAGTGTTTGCCAGTGTATGTACTACGCTCCCTTGGAGCCTGCTGACAGGCAGAGCCAGTTAGCCTTTCTTTAAACAGCAGTCAAGTAACATTTGACATATTTTAAAGTCCAAGGCTTAAAATTCCTAGTAATTTGTGCTCAACATCTTGTTCTTCTGTTGCTGAAATCATGGCATATTTTCTAGCTGTTAGAACAACTGTGTTTTATTTGTGTAACCACTTATGTTGGCAAATTTACAGTGGTAATGCTGCTTATCTGAAGCTGACTGCAGATTTTTTTGGCTTTCATTAAGCAAGTCTAGTGGTAAAGAGACTCTTTAATGTAAGAAAATGAATTTAGGTTTTTCTCTGCTTTCTCTTCCATCATAAATTTAAATTGAATAATGCCAGTGAACTCAGTGGATGTACAGTGCCAAAAAAAAGGATTATAAAACTGAAAGGGAAATCTTATTTTCAATGATTTCATTTAAGCACTTGCCTGGATCAAGTGCTTGGGTTTGAAGAAGCTGTTTTAACTTGCCTATGCCTCCATTTCTCTGTAAATAACAGTTACTAGAGAATAAATTATTTGATGGAAGTTTGTGTGAACATTATCAATACTATACTTTTGCTCTTGAAGCATGTGCCAAATGACTCAGCCTAGGAAGGAGCAAGATTATGTCAAACTATGGTTAGCTCAAGAATGGCCATGTACACATTAAGAAGGAAAAATCTAGTGAAAATAATGTGTGGCCATTGCATGACCAAATACATGCTGAGAATTGACAGCCTGTGGTGGAACTGCAGCGTTCATACGTGTTAAGGCAAACCCAGATCCTAGGAACAATGGTTTAAAGGGCTCATTATTTCTCTCAGTCCAGTGTGTTTGGATTTTTTTTCAGATCATCATGTTAAACTCTGTCTCTGATCTGCATGGCTATATTGACAAAAGTCAGCTGACCCGGGAGCTGGGAGGAACTCTGGAGTACGGCCACAGCCAGTGGATCCACCACCGAACTGTGAGTGCTGGTGTTGTTCTTCACTTGTCTGCACCAGAACTGTCCAGATGACTAATGCAAAGCAACCATTAAGTAGTAACTCTTCAGGGGCATGTCAGCCTACTGATTCTGCCAGGGACTCATGGAAGGAGGAAATCCATGACTCAAATAGAGAAAGGCAAATTCCCAAAAGTTTGCAATAGAAGCAGTGATCTGTATCTCACTGTGTTCCTGGCCTAGGGCCCAACACTGTCAGGGTATTCTTACTCAGCAAGGCCCCTTGGCACATTCTCTTGGCTTTTGAATAATTGATGGGATTCATAGGCCTTCAGCTCATGGTTGAAGTTGAACATAGGCTTTAGCACTTTACTGAATCAAAGGTCAAAATTCTTACTTTAATGATTAATTATGTCCCTGCTTTTGAGAGAATCGAAACACTAGATTTTATTTTACCTCGTTTTCTATGTAAGCATGCACTCCAGCTGGGTCATATTTTGGGTAACTGAAGAACAGTTGTAAGTAGAAAGGCAGAAAGACTTTTTATTCTATTGAGGAAACTTGTACAGATTTGATTGTTCCCTTTTGGGGCTGGTTAATGCATTTCAGTGTTTGCTTCAAAACAATGTAAACAATTCATTACGGTGCCCAGAAAAGGTGACAGTTCACAAAAACAGACTCCAAACTCCGGCACATTAGCAGCTAAAATATTGAATCATCCTTCCCGAGCAAAAATGGGTTAAGCTGGGTGGTGATCCAGGAAAATTAATTTCATGGAGAATCTATGCAGCGTTTGCATCTGTCTTTGTGGGTCTACTTGCAAGATTGGTATGTTAGAGCTCAAATCTAATGTGAGCCCCAATATTTTGCAGAGTTCTGATCAGCCCTGGGTTCTAATCTATTGTTGATGGTGGACAGGTTACATCTAACACTCATAAAAAGATCTTTTCTGAGGTTACTTTAGGTCAAGTCACTTTTGTCACTTTCTTGATATAATTTTTTGCGCTTTTCTGTCCTTATAAAATTGAATTTTACTCTCCTTTAAAACCACCAAATATTTCAGGCTTCTAAATGTGGAAACACAGAATTTGACTTCCCTCTAGCACTGATTTTCTACATTTATAGCTGTGTTGACTACAGTGAGGTTAGGATTGAGATAGGTGAGCAGGCTTACGTGTTAAAACTGTCAGAAATATGACACTGTCCTTGCAGGAGGGGGGGAGTGTGAAGAAATGAATCATCTGTATGTGCTTTCACACAGCTAAAGGCTTGAAAATATGAGGGAGGGGAGCAGAGACACAAGAAAGGCTGTATCATGTATTAATGAGAAGATTTTACATAAAGTAATAATATATAGTTTGTTAAAATATGCAAATAAAAGTGAGCCAAGATTTGAGGGGAGTGTGGCTATATAATCCACAGAGGTTTGAGTTAAATTTGTTTGAAAAACTCTTACCAAGCAGAGAGACTTGGAAAAAAACCCAACAAGCCACAGATATAACTTAGGTACATGAAACAATTTATTAGACATGTGCACAGGAGAGGGTGGGGGCAAGCACGCTATTTAGTGAAACTCGGATAAGCTCCTGGTGAGTGGTGCAGTCAACCAAGGAATATCTGTATAAGAGGTTGTCATTAGGGAAGTGTCAGCCTCCATGGCACCTTGAAACAACCTGACTTTGAGTCTTGCTGAGGTATGGGCTTCATGTCCTTTGCTGCTTCTCTCAGTGTTCTCCTATCTCGTCCTGCCAGTGCTTTTTTTCTGAAACAGCTTTAAACCGTGGCTAAGTGGCAGTGACTCAGTGATCTCCCTGCATCGTTCACTGTTTCTGCTTTCTTATCTGGGTTGGCAGGAGCCTGTGAGCTTTTTTGCCCACGGAATACATTTTTGGGCTTTCAGGAAATCGGTTGTGGATGGCTGTGTCTGTCAGAAGTGTGACATTTCAGCCAACTCTAATCCAGTAGTTTCAGTGCTGAGAACAGCAGGCTACAGCTGCTGGGCACCAACCCAGAGCATATGTGAGTTTGTACTGCTTGTGCTGAAAGCAGGCGTGAATTCATTGGGAAAAAGGGAAGGAGGCTATGGACTGTGCAGGCATTGCTTCATCTGGGGCATGTTTCAGATCACATATTTGGACTATACCTTTTGAATTATGATCTACTTCCTGTTTGTTTTTCACTGAGCACACAGCAAAATTTTACTGTCATGGTTGCAGACAAGGAATTCCCATCATTGCCAGAGAAGGGAATGCAATGTGCAACAACTACGTAGCATTTGCCTGGATGTCAGAGCATCCCTAGTGCTGCTGACTGACACAAACCATTGAGTAGGTTAGATCACAAAGTGCAAAGAATAACGAGCTACATAGAACAATACGGTCCCCCTCAAAATTTGGGCATAATCATGAAAAAACATCCCATGAAATTACTTGCTACTAGATATAAAAGTTTTGCTCACATCTCACAGGTCTGAACAATATATTCTCAGAAGGCAGCATTGGTTTTAAGGCTTCCTCTTTTGCCTTTTCTTCAATAAAACCACAGATTTCTGACAAGTTTTGTGTTAGTACACCCAAGTGATAAAACAATACTCCAGTGAATCTATGCATTTTAACTGTGTTTGCTGTAACTTGTTCTTGTATTTGTGTACTAACATGAACAGATGGGAGGGAGTGACTAGAATGCATCTAGTACAGATAGGCAGGATGGAGATGCACATTTTCAGAAGTCAGGGCGAAGACAGGTTACTGCTGAGTGAACAATGGCTGTATAAATATAAACACAAAAAGACTTTGCCCTATATACTTCAGGAGTGTCCTCAACTTAAAGCCTTCATTAAAATTTTAAACACAGCAGAATTTCCCAGCAAGCATGGGCAGAGGATCTGAAGTTCCAGGCCTGGCTTTGAAGCTGATGTCCTCTGTGGTTTCATTATGTCCTCTAAGCTCTGGGAGTTCCCAGCTGGCTCATGGAGATGACAATACTTTGTGACAGAGGATTCAATTTGTGACTTTTAGCATATCCACTCCAAAAAAGGCAACATGACCTGCTTTACAGGCATGTAATACTTGCAGCACATTGTGCCTGAAGGACTGAGTGTTGTCAAAGGACTGTTGTTAAAGTTTGTGACTTTATGCTCCTGCTTTTCCAGGCTATTGAAAACTTTGCAATGACAGTAAAAACAACAGCACAGATGCTACAGACCTTTGGAACAGACTTAGCAGAGACTGAACTTCCCAACGATGTGCAGTGCACAGAGGAGCTCCTCTCCGCACACACCGACCACCACAGCAAGCTGAAGGTGATTGTTGTCTTCTCATGATGGCTCCAGCACAATAGTACATGATTTGTGACTTAACAAAATGTTCTGCCATCACTTGAGAGTCCATTGTCTGGAAGCCACTGAGGAGGACAGAAACCTGGGTTCAGGAGGTCAATTTGATTCAGCTGTGGAAAAGGACATTTTACAGCTTCAAGAGTGATAGAACAGGGAAATGTCACTTCTAATGTATGAGGGGGTGTGATGGAATCACATCTGGAATAGCATGGGCTCCTGATGAAGAGTTCATCAGAAAGGATGAACTGGAGCAGATAGAGACAACTGTGAGGATAATTAGGAATAGATAGAATGATCTAGGTAATCATGGTTGTTTTATTTAAAAACAAACAAACAAACAAACTTTGGGGCAAGTTTAGCTTTGCAGAATAAGAATCAGAAGAAAACATTATTGCTGTCAACAAATACCTTAGGTTAAACATAAGAGAGAAAACACTACTTAAGCTATATTAGCACAACAACACGTTTTATGGAAGAATGTGCAGTGATGTGGGGATTCATCGGCTGATTTAATAATGTTTCAGCCTCATTACCCTTTTCATTACTTATCTTTCATGCTGGGAAGACTCTTCTTCTATGGATGACTCCTTATACCTGTTGTACTGTGGCTCAGCATGTCACAATGTTGTTTGAAGGAAATTCCATTAAGAAGTGCAACGTGTCAGCGCAGGCTCTCAGCTCACTGAACAATCTGCAGCACACATTCAATCTGTGGTAGAATAATTTATTCTGCAATAAATTTCTGCCTGGTCAGAAAAGCAGTCTGCTCAGAAATTCTACTATTTCTTTTCTCAAAAATAGATCTACTATTCAAAGTGAACAGATTTAGTCTCTGCATTTTCTAGAAAAATGTATCACCTTTGGTAAGCATTTATATTTTGTTCCAAATATTTAGTACCTATGAAAGCATCATAGGTACTAAGCATTACTGTGTTGTCCATGTAAGAGATGTGAGTGTTGTTAGAAGTACATACCATTTGTTTTCTGGCTTGTTTTCTTTCCCTCAGGATGAGCTGAAACTAGCAGTGAAGCAGGGGGCCACCTTGCTGACATGCATTCGGGAGCCAGTCACCCGAAGTGCCAACAGCAAACTCAGTCCAGATGAACTGGAAAATGTAGCCACAGTAGAAAGGTCAGTGAAGCGAGATTACCTTGTGCAAGTTGCTAATTTATTCCTCAGAAATGCAAGTGTAATTTAAATAATTTAAATATGCGAGTTATAAATTGCCTCCGGTTCAACCACTCAGGATTTATTGGACAGGGAACTCAGAGAAGGGAATGGCTTTGAGGAATTTACTTGATTGAACTCAAGGTGAGTTCAAACAAGTCCTGAATTTTGTGGTAATTTTTGGTCAGACCGCTAACTACCTGGGCTGAAGATTTAACATGAGACTTACTTTCCCTGTAACATATGTGTCCTCCAAACTTCTGTGCCTGATTTGAAGGGCACCTGAATCTCTGTGAGATGAGAGGGTGTGTGTTTGTGTATGTCTGTGGAATCACTGGGGGAGAAACAGATGAAGTGATACCCTGCAGAGAGAGAGAGAGAGAGAAACAAACCCCTTTTCCTTCCTACAATGCTAGTTACTACCAGAAAGCTTTTAGTCACCATGTAGAAGTTTCTGCTGTGCCATGTGATGCAGTGGAAAGAGAAATGCCATGCTAGTGTTTTAGCATGTCTGCATTCACTGGGAACAAAGCTGCTAAAAGTAAAGCTGAGCTGATATTTTTCACTGAATACTTTAAAATCCTTTTAACAGTCACACCAAAGGAATTTGCGAATTCATCTTGAATTCAACAACCAGCTTTGATTAAAACCACATTTTCCAGGGATAGATTGAAAACAGAACTTTGTTTTTGAGAGAAATAGGAGGGTGCTATTGTCATTTGCCTTAATAACTTGATCATTTCAGCACTCACCAATCCCTACTTGCCCAAAGAGTGCCCATTTATTGAAATACAGGATATTCAAGGAAAACTTTCTTTTCATTTTTTCTTCTTGTTTAAACTGTTCTACTTTGCAATTAATGGATCATTGAGAAACTGTGTGGATGACTCACTAGTCTGGTTTTAGACATTTTACTCAAGATGTACGACACCTTGATATTAATTTCTTTGCAAATAAATGTTTCATCATTTACACAAAATAATGTCCATGGGAGTCATTATGAGCTTCTAATGTATTGTTTTTAATGGACTGGGAAAAATGATTCAGTCCTTGCCTGTTTCTGATGGGTGAAAAAAAGGAACAAGTTGTAGAGTTCTGCTTTAAACATTCCATAAAATAATAATTGCATCACATTCAGTCTGCATCAGTTGGGGGTGAATTATCTTTGAAGAATTGGGTGGAAGCTTGGGATTACAGTTGCCCTTGTCTGCCAGAGCATGGAACAGCTCTGAGTCCTTGTTGCAGGTCAGGAGGCAGGACTGCAACTGCCACAGTGGATCCATGTAGTTATCACTCATCCATCATACTCCTGCCTATCCCACTGCAAATTTAATTCCCTTTTGCTTAAGGGACAGTTGACACAGAGCCCTCTTACATGAGTGTAGGCTCCCCACCATCTCCCTGCTCTGCTTTCTGCCACCAGTTAGTGTAACTTAAAAGAAATGAACTATAGGAAATAAGTACATTCTATTCATTATAATTTCTTAACAGGTTGTTGGCTCAGTTGGATGAAACAGAAAAGGCTTTTGATCAATTTTGGACCAAACATCATCTAAAACTAGAACAGTGCCTGCAGCTTCGACACTTTGAACATGATTTTAGAGAGGTACTTCATTTGTTCATGCTGTCTAGTCTTCTCTGGTAAATAAGGTCAAATTTTACCCATACCTAAAGTATACTGGCAATCCAAAAAGAAGACTGGGAGAAAAGCCCTTCATTATGAAATAAGAACTGAGTTTTCAAAAATTAAATTTTTGGCAGCTATCAGATGTCTTACAACATTTGAATAAAGCCCAGTGAGGAAGGTGCCAGACTGTGAGGCCAAAATGTGAAACACCAACTTCTTGATAAACCATTTTACATTTACGTGTGAAGTTATCAAATATAATATCTTCTGTGACATTAAGTTGCCAATCCCACCAGAGTCAAGGGAATACAGTTCAGAAAGCCCAACTGTCAGCCCAGAGACTGGAGTAATACAGATTCTGGAGTAATATAGACTCTGGAGTTACAGGTTTTCAAAACTGCGTGGGCCTAAACAGTGAGAAGCAGGGCAACTCTTTGAAGAATAGTTGATTGTTGCTTTATTCCTTGGCTTTTCCATTTTGGAACAAGCTGAAAGACTAAATTTGAGATGCAGAGTCTTTTCAAAGATATAGATGAATGTTTGTTGTAATTTTATGAGTATCTTGTGGTAAAGTTTTGGGTGGGTTTATTTTGTTTTGGTTTTATTGTTTTGGTTTTATGCTTTTGTTGTTGCTGTTTTTTAGGTAAAACTGACATTGGATAACCTCATGGAAGCACAAGCAGGTTTTGCTGACATTGGGGACAGTGTGACTCGAGTGGAGCACCTCCTAAAGGAACAGAAACATCTGGAAGAGAAAGGACAGGTTTGCACTCAATTTAGTATTTTAGCTGCTATAGACATGGTATTCCAGACACTTCTTTGTCACTGTCCTTCCATCCCATTTACTCTCTTCTCATGAGTCATTATTTTAAATTGCAAAACTCAGATCCTAATTTCCAGAATCCAGGGTTGTTGAGACCCAGTAGTTCCAATTCGTTTCTTGGCAAGCAGGGGGAAAAAAGCAGGGGAAAAAACTTGTATAATGAATGTCCCCAGCATGGAGAAAGAAGAATTGGACTCCACAACTTCTCTGGGCAACATGTTCCAGTGTTTGTTCACCCTTACAGTAAAAAAGTGCTTCCTGATGTTCAGATGGAACCTCTCAAGTTTCAATGTACTCACTGACAATAAAGTTGGTCTTCAATGTAAATATAAAGTAAGACATCAGCTATATTTATATCCCAAACCTTTACCCTCAGGCTACAGCAGGGATTATAGAGATGGACTGTCATTACTATAAATGTCATTCTAAGATCTAACTTTGGATTTTTCTCATTAATTTCACAGGAACCTTTGGAGAAGGCTCAGTCTCTAGCTCTTCATGGAGAACAGCTCATCCAAAACAATCATTATGCAGTTGACTCCATTAGACCAAAGTGTGTTGAACTCAGGCGGATTTGTGATGACTTTACCAATGAGACCAAGAAAAAGTATGATATTTTGGGAAAGTCTCTTGAGCTGCATAAGCAGTTAGATAAGGTGAGCAAACCTTCTCAGGTAACAGCCCTGCCAAGGTTCTACTGAAAATGAATGTTTTTATCAGCTCAGGTAATTATGATGAAGATAAAAAGTTGTGTTTGTTTTTTCTCTGTATCATTCAGTAAATATAACTAGAAACATTGGAGCAGTAGATTCCCATAAGTATGGTCTTAAAATGATGAAAAATAGGGAATAAACTAAGGAAAATCGAGCTAGGCCTGAATTTGAAATGAGAACCAAATGTATTCTAGTGCTTAAAAATTAACAATTTACTGCTTGTTAGTTTTCAATTTCTCTGATCTAGCTAGAATAGCAAGATAAATGCTTTGAGAATGTTTGTTTGCTATTCCAGCAACGTAAACCTTCTTTGGAGTATTTCTAACTAAGTTTCATAGGCCTGAGAAGTTTTGGGGAGTTTTGATACAGTTTCAGTTTTTGGGTTAATTATGTGACTGAACACTCAAATGAGGTAGTACAGCTGAGAGATTCGATTTGCAGTAGCACTTCTCCTCTTTGCTCAGAATATTATTCTTTTACATGTTACTGGACCATCTAGCCCATGAGAGCTGAACAGCAAGTTCAGTTCAGCAAGTCCAGTTCTACATATCCTGGTGGGATGACTTGGGCAGGAACTATGGCACGCTACGAAATAACATCGATACCTTTTAGAAACATATTAGGGCAAATCTGTATTTCACAGAGTAGAAGCAACACTTAGCAACATGGACTTTCAGTGATCATGAGTCCTTCTTTCCCCATTTTTCTTTAAAGGCAAGCCAATGGTGTGAAGCTGGAATCTACCTCTTAGCTTCCCAAGTCACAAGAGGGAGCTGAAACTGCACTCGTTGAAATTGAGAAGTTCCTGGTAACAGCCAAGGAACACCAGCTCTCTAACCCAAAGGAGTTCTACAATCAGTTTGACATGATCCTCACCCCTGAAATAAAGGTAAAACCTCTCAGATGTGCATGCACTCACTTAGAATTTAAAAATTACCAAATGCTTTGTACCGGAGAGTGTCCTGGGATATATATTTGAGTCTGCTAAAATATGCCTCTTTCCCTATTCCAAAAGGGCACAGAGGTGAGCCCTTGGGGCAATGAGTTTTGCTCATGAGTAGTCATGGAACACACATGATTTTCTTCAGAGCAATGTCAGAAATACTGCCTGAGTCACCATGTCTTGGTCAGTGAAACTGTGATGTCTGTGGAGTGTGTGGACTGGGTTGCATTAAACTGCAGCACAGTGTCATCTTCAGCTCTAGTCTGTCTGGTAACACAAGTACTTTCTTAACTTAGTCCAGCACTGACAAGTGTTTGTTGTTTGCCTTTTCTTTGTCAAGGCCAACGCCCAAAGAATTGTACAAAAACTTGAAGATGTACAAGAAATGTTTGACAAGAGGCAAGTAAGTTTGAAGAAGCTGGCAGCCAAACAGACCCGGCCAGTACAACCTGTTGCTCCACATCCCGAATCTTCCCCAAAACGAGCATCACCAAAGATTACCAGGCCAGCAGCAGTAGGTAGGCCATGAGCAGTTACTTTCAGACACACACCAATGTTTTGTCCACATGGTGATGTTTAATTTTTGTTATCAGAATGAAGACTTGCACTTGATGTGCAGTGTCAGCCCTGTAGGTCCAGCTATGAAAAATGAATGTGAAATATCTGTCACTACAAACATACTGACAAGGGTGAATCAAAAAACCCCCAACAAACCAACAACAAACCCACAAAAAACCTCAGGTTTCTCTTCCTAGGTCTAATCTACAGAGTACATTGCTATACTGTTTCCCAGTGTGTCTTATATTGCCAGTTCTTGAATACCCAAGCCAGGGTAGTCACTGCAAGCCTGAAAAGTAAGCACGAGAACCTCTTTCACATTGCATATACTGTAATGTGAATATTCGTCTTTAAAAGGTCACAATACCTCAAGTTTCAATCAGATACTTGCCAAATTAAGGGTTTGCTAGTGACACTGCCTCATTTGTGGAAGTTTTGCTTTTTCCCCTCTACACAGCTGTTCATTCACTTTCTAGCTTGTCCTCTGCTAACTATAAAAGTTGAACGTTGCTTCTGTTTGGAATTTCCTGAAAGTTCCTGATTTGAAGTTTTCACGTGCCTTTAACCAAGATAGCTGTTTTCTGCAAAAGGAACATGGGTGAAGCTAATTTGAGACACTGCATCTTGGAGACCAGTGGCTGTGCTTGGTGGCAAGAAAGCATTGCCCCTTTGGAACTGTAGGGCTTTTTAAAAGGGGAACCTTTACCAAAAAGCTTTTTAAAAAAATCAATTTGCAAGAAGAGCTTGCAATAAACTGCTTTCTCAACAGGAAGATTAGGATGGCCAGTAGCCTGACCATTTTGCTTTCTAGGCATATCACCAGGAGGTCACACCAGTGTCCCTGTTCTCCTCTGCTCTGCAACCCTAATCCTTTCTTACCAAGGAAAATCATCTTCTTCCTGTTACCATGTTAGTTTGACATCTGTACTTCCCCCCTACCAAACCATACTAGCTTAACATGTTCTTAACATACAGCTGCTACCTCAAGTTTCAGCTTCACTATTGGCTTAAGGCAAGCTGAGAACACAATGCATGTGAAGAGGTCCTGCTCTGCCACACACTCATCCTCCAGCAATGTGCTCTTGCACTGAGGTGGGCAGTCAGTTTGCCGTAGGAGTTGTGATTTGCCTTGAAAACTCAATCAACAGACTGTAAAAATGTAGTAGTTATTTTTCCACGGCATGAGTTCACGCACCCCAGTCCCCTGCTCCAACCAGCACTAAGTCAGAGTTGATCACATTCACTGAGTGGCCACTAGTGCTGCAGAAAAGGAAGATGCAGAAAATGGGGTTATGGGGTCAGCAGGTCAGAGGCAGTTAGTCCCATCACTGCAAGTACCATTTGAGGATGGTTTTCACCTATTGTGAAACTGCATCTTCAGGCTAAAAGCTAATCTTGCTGTTTAGTTTATGCATGCAGTCTCTGATTTTGTTTCTTGAATTTCTTTCTTGTCATTTTAAAGCACTTGCAGATTTTTTAATTAAATTGTTGGTGTAGATAGAACCTTCTAGAACAGTCACTAGTATATATGTGACAGTGCTCTAAGTTTTGATTCTTGTTCATACAACCAATCCCATACTATCAGCTCTTTCATGGAAAATCATGAGATGCTCCATTGCTCTGTCCCTTGCATTGCAGTTCAGGGTTTTACAACCCAATACAGGATAACTGTGTGACAAGGATTAGCCTCTAACGTCCTGTTGCAAAATAATAGGTAGATGAAATTTATTTTTAAATGTTACTCTGGTTGTTCTTTTAGAAGGTGCAAAGTGCAACTCAGTCCTGTTCAGACACTGATAAGTAGACTGTAAAATCTCATTCAGGTTCCTGAAGGTGCCTGACCGAGAGTACCTCTGTACAAAGAAACAAACCCTGACTATCTACAGCTTATCCAGGGGCTCACAATCACAGCTTACTTTAACAGCTGTGAATAGTACATGTACATTCATATACTCTGTGTAATGGCATCCTTTGGGTGTTATCCAGCTGTCAGCTACCAAGAATCATACTTTGAAATTCCTGAGTGCCCTTTCCCTCAGAATGCCAAAGCACTTGGCAAGTACTGGTCAGTATTTTAACCTCTTTTTTTTTCAGAAAGAAAACTGAAGCACAGATAAACTGATTTACCAAGGCATTTTACAGTCTGACTCTCAAATGTGTCTGAGAATAGAAACAGGGACACTGAGTCCTATTCCAAGCCTTGAAAATGAGGCTGCGAAATTCTGCTCTTCTTGAAGCTACCCTCTTTTGGACTTTCCTCTATGTCCTTTCTTCACATTCACGGGATCAATGCACTATCAACATTTACTTATGGGGAGAATTTATTGAGCAACATCTTGGAAACATGAGAGAGGCTTAGAGCACCTTTTGGAAACAGATACTGTAACTTGTTGTCATTTTTTAGCCAGGACTTACCTGAATATTTCTAAAAGCTTGCAAAATAGAATATGGCAACAGGAAAATGCCATTTTCCTAGGCTGCATAAATATAAAAGCAGGCAAAGGCAATAAAATGTTGTAAACAGAAATAGAAGACTAGAAAGAAAGGCTTTTGTCCCCAGGCAACAGAGTAACAATACCATGGCAGCACTGCAATGGTTGTCTGTGAAAGGAAAAGAAGTTATGTTTGTTCCAGAATAGATTTTGTTTTGTTTTTCCTTGCTGACTATCCATTTTCCAAACAAGGAGTGGTAGGGAAAATTCAATCCAATTCAGGGTGCTAATGGAAAAATCTTCACAGATGTGAAGACTCAGACATGAAATACTGTCAGACTCTCCATTTTACATGGACAAATACATAGGTGCACACAGGCAGAGCTGATACTATGTCTGAGAGGAAGGGCAGGTTTCCATCAGGGAAATGACTGCCACAGGTTATGTCTGTGTCCTTATGGTCACTGGTGACTGACTCTCAGCAAACTCTAAGCTTAGTGAAGATCCAGAAAGGCAGCTCAGAGCTGCTGTAAACTCTCCCTCACTCAACACTTTTCACTCAACACTGTGGGTCTGGAAGTTCTGAAGCAAAATTTTAGATTAATCTCAATTTTGCTTGAAGCTTTTGGTTTCGCAAATGAACTTTCAAATTTTGCAGGGACAGGCCTGTTCAACATTGAAAAACTAGTTTTGGAATTATTGTGATGCTCCAAAGTCTGTGCCAGCTGGACTTGGTGCACATTTTAGCTGTGAGAATCTGCTTAAGTATTATTCACAGATCAACCCAGAAAAGGCATAAACCCCTCTGTTGACCTTTTTATAATGAGTGCTTTGACAATATTTAACTAGCGTATATAACACCTTATTTTAAGGACAACTCTCTTTACTCCCAATGGAAGCTGCTTGAATACTGCTGATGGCTAAACTTGTCCCTGTATGTGTTGGGAGGAGAGAATTGGCACTTCATAGGGAAATATTTTTGCTGATTTACTTCTGAGGGCATAATTTTTGATGATTTGACTACATATTTGTTTTCTGCATTTCTGTACAAAACTCCTTGGCTGGAGTGAATTGGGATAGGTCCACAAAGTCAAACCATGGAGGCCAGTATTGCCTCTGGGCTGTCAGGCACAGATTAGAGACAAATTACAGAACTGTAAAGGAGAATACAAGCTATTAGGGATGATTGCAGTTAGCATTTCTCTATTTTAATTTGCTTGTAATTCTCCCAAACTCTAACTCTTCGAAATGAAACTTTCCCAAAGGCTATCTTCTCAGCCTGACACATTCTTGGAAAACTTCAGTAAAAGGTGATTTGGCCATCCTGCGACCATGGTTAGGAAAATTGTCTTGCTTTAGTTATCTTTGTGGTGAGAGCTGGAACATGGCAGTACAAAGTGCTATAAAATATTCATGGGTAGATTTCTTTGTGTGCAACATAAATGTGAAATACAGGAGCAGAGATGTCAAAATTTCTGTGAGCTCATTAAACAAATAACATGTTTAAAAGCACATTGCACATACAAAATCCATGACTCACCATACAAGCATCTTAGAAGGCCAGCTTGGAACTTGAGATTCATATGGAGGAACACAGCTGGAGCCTTTTCAGTTCTTTAAATAATATAACTTAAGCTGGTTCCATCTCAGTTAAATGTATACAACTGCTCATTGGATTCATTCCAGCATTCCTCACAGTCACTAGTGCATAACACTCACTAACTAATAACATCTGGATAGGGGATGAAGGAAGAATGTCTTGCAAGAGTCTGGGGATGTGTGCAGGGGAAGTGAGGCTGCAGACAGATTAGCTGACTCAGAAAAGATGCTGCATGTGGTTTTCGTTAATGGTTTGAGAAACCACTCATTTCTATAGTTCAAGATATTGAATAAGTGTAACTCATTAGCCAGTAAGAGACATAGACTCTGTAGTCAAGGGTTATAATACATGCCCAGCACTTGTAAGGCATTCAAAGACCCCCCAAATAAATGCTTTACATTCAGGTTTTGCGTGAATTTCCCAATCACATCTTTCCCCATATGTTTTCTGTGTGAGAGTTTGTGCATTCTCAGTAATCACCTACAGCAGAATCAAATTCCTTTGGCAAGAACAGGCATGGAAACAACTAGTCTGCTAAACTTTATTGGGCTTTGCTGCTCCTGCTGTCCAACAGGAAACGTGAGTTCGAAGATCATTAATGACAAAATCATTGTTTTGAATTGTGGTGATGACAAAATAGAATGTTTAGGCAGCTAAAGAAACACCAGAGCATCTTTGCTCTATCATTCAATGGCTTAGTGCAGACTTTTCCATTTTTAGGCAATATAATCTATATTTCTTTGCTCTAGCAAAATTGCTGTCAAATCCCTGGAAAATCTGCCAATATAAGAAGCACAAAGCAAGGTTCCTCTATGTGGAATATTATTCTACAAGGAGACACCCCACTTGTCTTCCTTTGTTCCTGTGCCTTTATTCTTTCAGTAGGCAGCTCAACACTTTAACTTTCAACTTCCTCAGCAGTACAATACAGTACTGACCTTGAAACAGCCAACTGTGCTGAATTTTATAAGGGAGTTTCCCTTATATTTCCAGTTCCACAGTAATTAGTGCAATAATAATTGGCAGGTATTTTGGCTGTTTCTTTCTAAGGTGCTCCAGAAACTACTTAAAGGTAGTGACGTGCAGCAGTCTCTGACTATGGGCCAGTCAATAACTGACAAATTCTCTGGAGCATGACCAACACAGATTGCTGCCTGCTCTCAGTTCATTTCTGGGTCAAATTGGAAAGGGAAGTTCGCTGTGTCAATCTGAATCAAATTCATCTCTGAAATATATGCAGTTGAATTTGTCTTTCTTATCTTTGCACCTGCCTCCTTTCCTGAAATATCTCACACTGAAGAAGCCAAGACTAACCTAGTGAACTGAACTGAGTAATTGCTACTGGATCAAGGAGCACCTGCACTTGGGCTTCTTGTGAATGTGCCATCTTTCACTTAAGCTGTTCTGGATCACCTGGAGCTGTCTGAATTTGGAAGTTGTGATCCAGACATCAAAATTTTAACTGATTTCCACTTTTTCTGCTGGTTGCTTTCAGCCAGGATTTCCATACCAGTATCAACCGTCCCCTCAAGTCTTCTGATTAATGAATAGGTCAAACAACATGGTATTGCTGACTATGCTCTTCTAAGCAAAAGTTGTCATGTTTTCTGAAGTTATTTCCTTTCCTTCCATTTCTTTCCACAACACATCCATAAAATTTCTGAATTAGCTTTGTAGAACAATCCAGTGGACTGAACCCAGATTTAGATAGGGCAACTAGACCTTGGCAGAGTATCTAGGGTATTCAGGATGCCTGTGTGTTATTAAGAGTATGAAACAATGTCTTGGTAGTCAAGTCTTAGATTTATTTCTTTTACTGCTGATTTTTCAAGGTATAAATAGGATATAGTTGAGAGAAGCTCCAGGAGATAACAGTGTTTAGTGTGAATGGTATGATCACAGTCTGCATTTTGTCAAGATGGTGGTAGATGAGAATTTAAGGCTAAATAGAATCTCCAGGGTGCATTAGTATGGAAAAGAGTGAATTTGCTAATGCTTATAACCACTTTACTCAGGCATTCATGGGGGAAACCATAAAAGGACCCATTTGAAAACTTATCAAATAGTTGATGAAGGTTGGTATTCTGGTTTTGCCAACAGCATAAATCATCCTTCTTGCAGATTAGAAAGGTAGGAAGAACTTTGACAATGAGGATCAATAGCTTCTATATGCTTTATCTTGCATCTTTTTGTCCCCTTGGTTTCAAAATGTCAGTACACCACTTTTTGGGTGAAATAAAAATACCTTTGAGAGAACAATTACTACTTCAGGGAAAGCTTTCTTGGGGTGGGAAAAAGGCATCTGTTGAAAGTAGTGCTCAAAATCAAAACAAATCCCCTGCTGTATATTCTGAAAGAGAGTGATGGAAGAGCCAAAGAGAGACGACATTTGCATTTCAGCTCAGTCCTGGGAACCACGAGAATCCTCTAGCAGTTGATTATAGCTGCTGGTGGCTGCCAGATTTCACTGTTCCATTGAGGAAACCTTCTAGTATAGAGTCATTGTGCAGAGGTAATAGGCATGAAATGGACATTGCCAAGTCCTCATGTCATTCAGCATTGGATAAATCCAAGAAGATTTAGAGAAGAGTTGGAGAGAAGCCGCTTTAATTAATTCTCTTCCCAGCTGTGTGATAAGGCTGCTGAAAAGACACAGAGTAGAAAAAACGTCGACTTCCATTACTGTTGTCTGTGAAACTGATATGTTGTCTTCTTAACTGAATATAATTTGGGTGCTTCTATGTGCCTTTTTTGCCTTTTCTAAAACTACCTCGAAAGAAGAATTTAATGACAAGGGCATCTGAAACTTTGTTAATGTGTTTCTTCTCTAAAAAGTGTTCAACCCCCTCCTACATGAATCCTTTGATACTACATCCTCTTCATTCAAAGATGTCTGCATCTTTGTTACTGCACCCCTCAGCTTCTCCCCAAAAAGTTATTAATTACCACCAGGACTCTCAATGCCTCAAAACATTAAACTTGGTGAAACCATCTCAAAATGTTACCAGATGCATTTGAAAACAAGTTCTTGTTCAATCAGAAAGTTTTCCCAGAATAAAAATGAAACAGACCTTATCTCAGAATTGCAGCAACTTTTTTTTTTCTTTTTTGTTCTTCTAACCCAGGTTCTTTCACCATTTCTTGTGGCTTTGTATGTGTTTTTACCATGACATGAATGGTTGCTCATATCAATTCAGCAACTAAGAAAAAGAAGAGAGCTGATTGCCTTGTGCTTATATAGTGTGTGCTGTGAGCTCGTTATCAATTTAAAACAGATACAAACTGTAACAGAAATTATTTTCTTCTCAAGCAAAATATATGATTCCCCTTCTCACAGTTCATTGTAAACCTTTCCTTTGGACAGCAGGCTCAGGACAAGTGGTTATGTTGTTAAGGATGACTGACCAGTAGCATCAGACACCTCACTGTCAGCTGTGGTTTGCAGAGCCTGCAAAGTCCCTCAAACCTGACATGACAGAGCATATTCTGAAATTGCTTCCTCAGGTTCACTATTATTATATCCGTGTCACAGTGACTTGCTGAACTCCTGGGATTACTCTTTTGAGACTTGTTCATGTAATGAAAACATTCAGGGAACAATCCTTTAATCCAACATTGCCAAACCATTACCAGAACCAAAATTTCCTTTCTTTGGGAACCCACACAAGCAACACTGTGCAAGTGACAATTACCCAAGTGATGATACAGCTGGCTAACATTTACCTGTGCTGGCCTAAAGATGGTTTTCCCAGGGGAAGCCAAACCAGTCATTACACTGTGGAGCTTTGGATGCCAATCTGAGCACTGAACAAGGTGGCCCATTCCTTGTGCCAGCTGGTCCATCGCCACCCCAGCCACAACTCAGTTCTCTAAGCCAGGTCTCAGTTACTACTGATGTGTTGGGATCTTTGCTCATTGCTTTTATTAGGAAGTAGAATTTCAACTTTCAGCACACATTTTCTAATGTTACTCTCTTTTTGACTCCTTCAGCTACCAACAGGAGGTCCACCGAAATTTCCTGCCCTCCAAAGACAGTTTCTGAAGTAGAGTTATCAAAAAAGAAAAGCATTAAGAAGACTAAAGGTGGAATTAAGGTAGGATTACCTGTGATTTGGGGACATCCCATATTATGAGAGAACTCAAGACCACATAAACATAGGTTTACTCACTTGGAATTAAAAAAAAAAAAAAAAAATTTAAACATTTCTAAGTTGACTCTCTGATAAGGATTTTTTTTACACTCCACATTGCAGTTTGAAAGTTACTCAGATGATAGCATTAAAAAGCATTTATGGAAAACCAAGTTACACTAAAGGAGAAATCATCTTCAAAGGATGGAAGTGGAAATGTGGAAGAAACGTCCAACAATAATACACTAAAATGCAGCCAAAGTGCCCATCCTCCCTTATAGCATGTGAACTACTTTGTTTCTAAAGCTGTAATCCGATTCAGCTCAAGTTGTGTTATGTTCAGGGTTTTACAAAGTTATAGATTTTTCCTCATTTAAATATTTTCTAAGGGTAATTTCTATGTAAAGTATTTAAAACTAGACATGTAATACTTAGGAATAAACCAGCCAAAACCCAAGAAAATCCACTGTTACCTGTGCCTGCATAGGGAAGTAACCTTCAGGGAAAGCTATCTGGCATTTGTGTCTCTGTGATGAGATTTCTTGCATTATTCTTTCCACAACAAGAATCTATTTAAGATTGTTTGGACATCTTTATCCTTTCCTCTCTATTCCCAAGCCTGACAGCATGTAAGAATCCTGCCCTTACAGCAGAGAGTCTTTGCTTTGAGCTGTAGACACCGACTGGGATAATAAGCTACCAAAAACAGCTGTTTGGCCTTCCTTGAGTATTTTAACACTGGAAACAGGTTTCAGATACTCCATTCATCTGCAGGTCTTGAAACTATGATGAACTGCAGCTGCATCCTAAAAGTTTTCATTTGCCCAAGCTAGCTGAAATAGCCACTTTCAGAGAACAGACTTCTTTCTTCTTTTCCCCTGTCAAATTCAAGCAAATACCTCATTTATCTTATTTAAAATGTTTGGGTTTAGACCATGTAAATACGCCTGGGAGAGATAAGAGGAATACCAGTGAGGTTATATTCTGAATGGTCTGTGCACAAATGTCATACCTTTGCCAACATCCCCTTTAGTTAAGTTTACTAAAAATAAGAGGTCAAATCATGCACAGTGCTGTACACTCACAACCTTTAAATAACAGTAGCCCTTTGCCCAGATTTTCTTGCAACTTGCCTGAAGATTCATATTATTGGCTCTTTAGGCCATTATATCATTAAAATGGTAAAAAATGCAATTTAAGGTATGTTTTGAGAAAGAAAACATAAGCCCTGAATGTAAGGGAAACAATACAATGAATGTTCAAAAAGAATTGTGAAACAAGTTGGGTAGTATGAGGTATGATCTTCATTTGGGTGCCTCATGAAAGTGTGATGGAAACAGCAAGTAGCCTTTTTCATATTGTTCAGCAGCTTGGGGGAGAGGAAGAGGAAGGGAATAAGCTTTTTCAGTACATCTCTGGGGAAAATAAATACCTCATCTTAAAACAGGTTATATAGAAGGAGAGGAGATGACACAATAGTCCCTGCACTTACAGTTTTTAACTTTTTCATAGTTCATGAGTTATTTTAAAAGGGATTTTTAAAGGTGAGCTCTATATGAGAACACATCCAATAACAGAGATCACGTTTTATTAGTTCTCTGTGCCTTTTCCAGTTTAGTCCACTATTACACAGGGTTTTTGTAAAATAAGCATTTTAGAGTTTCTGATTTTAATTAATAATTCACAGACCAAAACTCATACACTAGCACTTCTTACACTAGTGACACCCAAACATGGATGTTCTATTTTAATCTAAATATTGAAAAATGGTTTAATCTTGTTAGTGCAGGAATTCCACACAGGCTAAAACTGGTTTTGGGGTTTTTTTGCTTGTTTGTTTGTTTTTCCTTTTCTGGGGGCATGGGAATATTTAGCAGGGAGGAAGTGTTACCAGAAGGCCTGAAAAGCTAAAAAATGTATCAAATGTCTACCTGGCAAAATTCTATTATTCAATTTTTGATATAATACAAGCTACTTCAACCCAGCTCTTCTGTTATCCACACCCCTGACTTGCTCATACATTTCATCTTAATTTCCCTGAAGCTGAAACTAAAAATTAAACTTGGTCCATCTTCTGATATGGCCAGAACAGTCCACAACTTCAGCAATAAACACAGAATAAAATTCAGTTATCAGCAGGAACCTAGAGCTGGTTCTCCTTTGTTCTGATAATAGTTCAGGTGAGGACAGCTTATTAATGGATCCATCATTATCATCAACTATTTTGCAATATTGAATGTAAGATACTTTTCCCCTCCAGAATCAGCCATTAAAAATGAAAGTGCTCAGGAACTAAAAGACTCTGCTGGAGTTTAGATATTGGCTTGGATTAACTGCAAACTCAGAAGCTGGGTTGTTTTACTGAATTTGAAGATTTTGGCTTTTGAGTAAGTCCAAGTAGTACTTGGTGCTCTTAAAGCAAAAGGAGGAAAAACCTGCTTAAAACTTTCCTGGAGCACACCTGAAATGATCCAACTCGGCAAGACTGGACAAGGGAGAAGGTTAGTGTTTATCAAAATAAACACTGGAGCAATCAAAAAGCTCCATTTCAGCCTGGGGACAGCCCCTGCACACGAACATGTGCTCAGCACTGTCTTACCAACACTGCTCCTGGGACACAAACACTTCTCAGAGGCACAGGATGGATTCCCAGCTTTCTCCATATGCACCCTACAAAGAACTCCGAAAGTCTTTAGTTTGGCTTGAGACACAAACCAAAAAAACAGCATTTCAAAGTCTAAGTAACAGACTATCACACCTGTAATTATCTACACAAGGAAATAATTCACCTTCTGTGGTGCAAGAACACAACAACTTCGCCTGGAGTCAGGAATGCCTCCCATGCCAACACTGAGCAAGGAAGCAGAATAAAAATAGACAAGAGGTATTCTTGATTTAAAACCTGCACATATAGAATTCAATTATTTTAAATTGTCTAGTGACTTGCTAGGTTAGGTAGGATCTGTTTTTTATTCTTGCAAAGAGTTAAAGTCCTCCAAATAAAAGCATCAGCAATTAAGTATTTTCACTTTTTATTCAGATTGAGGTGATGCATGAAGCAAGTCAAGGAGGATCTAGCAGAGTCCTGGTGACCAGTGAAAGTGATGAGAACTTGTCAACAAGGAGGAGGTAAGGCTGCACACGAGCTAGTATATTTTTTTCTTCTTAAAATGCAAATTATTGCATTTATAGTACACTCTCTATGATTTCTTTGAAGCTCATCAAGATTAATAAATAATTATCTGTAATGAAGTCACTGAAATGCTTACAGCCATGCATTTATACCCAGTCTATCAGATGGAAAAGCAAGAAAGATTTATCTTTTGTTTGGGTTGGGGTTTTTTTCCATTTTTTTTCCTTAAAAACTTTAATTACAAGATGTGAGAAAATAAGTCATTAGAATAAGCCTTGCATGTATGTTCAAGAAAAGCAGTATTAAAGGCCATCTCAGTGTTCAGAATGTTCATATTTAACTACTCGCCTCTGAGAAGCTTCTGGGTTTTTTAAATGCATGCTAGAGTTTCTGCAGTCTTGAGAAAAAGATTATTAATTATATATTCTAAAGCACCAAATATTTAAGTCACTTAGTTCAACAAAAAGTACCAAGTAAACAGCTTAATTTAGCTGAACTGCACAGTTTCTAGGCCAAAGGGAGCAATTAAAAAAAAAAAAAACCACACCAAAAAACCCACACCAAAACCCACCCTGCAAGAAGCCAAATGACACAATCCCCACTGACTTCATTTGCTTTGTTCTCTTCTTCACTATGATTTAAATAATTCATACTTACATTATGCCTCTGTCTCACACAGGTAAACACTGAAGTTACCTGATGCAAAAGACTCCATTTCTAAAAACCTTAGGTTGATACATTATGTTAGACAAATTGGAGAGACATACAAATCATCATTATCTGAATTTAATTATACCCTAGGAAAATACTATGTCTGGTCCCCAAATCATCAACTAGTTTTCAAAAGGTGCAAAGTAGTACCTGAAATCTTGTGGAGATAAATACACATCTCCAGAGGAACAAAGGCCTAAAGAGAACATACAAATAACAACAGGTTAAGCTTCTAATATCTAGCAGTTCTACACAACTTCAGACCCAGAAGCTTGGTCAACAAATTTGTGAGCTGTCTCTTTCCTGGGAAACACCGATTTTGCCTTTTGTTGAGGGCAGGTTTGGTGCAAGGTAGAACAGAAAGGAAGGTGGGGGGAGGGAACAGTTTGAAGCCCTCGAGAGAGGGAACTCGGGATAACACTTAAAAGCATCAGAGCTGATGCTGTCAGTTACAAAGAAAGCAACAAGAGATATTTACCTCTGCTGTACTGTTTGGGTTTTTTTTAAAAGAAATAAGTCTGTTTATTCAAAACAAATTTTACAAAACAATTGTCTTTCTGTGGTACAGAGCAAAGTTTAAGAATAAATACTGAACACTTTGTATAAAAATTAGTAATATCAAAGGGAAACTGATGCAAACCAAACAAATAGGTAAAAAAATTTAGCATTAAATATGCTGTGCAACAATGTCAAACTCTTAATGAGGAGTGACCATTCAGGCTGATACAGTTTTATTTGCTGAAGTAAAACCTGACAGCCCTGCATTGGAGCACCAAGACTATTGTTAAAAAAGGTTCCAGATGAAAGTGTACAAATATTGTGTTTAGAACCAGAAAATAAGAAGTTTTCTAGTGTCTCCATTTTTTGAAAGGAGTGCCTTCATGCTTTTCTTTTTATTCAACAAGCAACTTCTTTTCACTGCAGCAAAAGAAAATGCATACTACAAACATCAAGACCCTTTTAAGATTAGGAAACAATCCAAACAAAACTCAAACCAACTGTAAAACAAAATATTTCAATGGTCAAAAGTGACTTTCAGATAATGGCAAACTACATTTAAGCAGCGTTTTAGATGTTAGCTAGTTTAGGCTACTTAAAGCTTAGTTTACTTTTGCTTGTATGAGTGAAAACAAATCCCAACACAGAGTTATGTTGCAAAAACTGTAGTCTTACTAGTACATTTTGGTTGCATACTGCATATGAAGACCCTCTTTCCCTACAGTGAACAGGGTGGTTTTTTCTAGCAGTGCAGTTTTGCTGTGCAGCTTTGTTGATTTAAATGGCTCAAAACAAGTCAGAAATCTGATGAAGCAGCTTTCCTTCAGTACAGAGTAATACTTCCTCTATATGTGCATTTATCTTCTCTGTAAGCAACAGGTCGTATAGATCTAGGGTTGTCTTGTGTTTTTTTTTCTTTTAGAAAATACATATTCTCAGTACTATAATCAATGTTTAGGCAAGAACAGGAACTGGATTTGGTTTTTTCTGAAGTATAGCTGTTATATTCTTCAGTCATTTTGACACTGATAAATGATTTATTTGTCGGCTCTTTATATGCCAAACATTTGGAACCAGTTAGGATTCTTATTATCTTCCTTCTGGAAAATCCATTATAGAAAGTTACATATTTTATGTAGCTACCTATCATCCATCTGAACAGCTTAGAGAACAGTCACCAAGCTCACTCCTGGATTCTGTCTACACTAAGAGACACCACTGTCCATTCAAACCATCAAACCCGCAGCACGGCTCCAAGAGCAGTAGCAGTTAGTTAAACCAAGTTTACTACTCACAGCTTAAAACTAGCAAGTCCTGTACAGTTACCACAGGTTTTGCAATTAGCAACTAAGATATCTGTCCTGAGAGTCTGTGAGCACCATTAGTGAGCTGTACAAGAAAGAACTGCAGACACCCTACAGCTCTGGCTCTCTGCAGTATCTCTGTGGCACCACAGTACAACTCGTAAGGGCTGGAGGTCACACATCGCTTTGTTCTGGTTTGATTTACAATGCACAGGTGTTTTGTTCCTCTGCAGGTGATATTAACATCAAAATATATTCAAGGTACAGGGTTTTGTGGACACAAACAACCCTGAAATTTTAAAGACAATTTTGATGAAAAACATTTTAGTTATTTTGATTTGTGTACTGGGTTTCTGTGAATCACCATCTCCCTATCCCTTCAATGCGAAGTCAAAGTTTGTGCAGAAAATATCCTCCCTCTTTGCTAGTACCTGCTTAAAATTTTGCTTTTTTTTAAGTCTTTAAAAGCTTCACATTAGCTCTAAGTAACATTCTTGGTGACTTTTGCTTGCTTTTAACCTTTAGAATCGTGAATATTGGAAAACAGAAGCATTCTTAAAAGAAAACTCATTTAGCTTATTTGCTTATTAAAGATTGGACTGTTTAAGTACACTGATTCAGTTTTCAGAAGGCAGAGAAATATTAGCCAAACCTGTTACATGAGTAGTATTTGATTTTCATCACTTCAAGTTCTAAAGGGAGCTCCTTTTTTTACTTAAAACCACCAAGTCAGAGGGCATTCAAACACTTTCCCTGTTTCAAAGATTTAGGGAACTTTGAGAAAATTATTGTAGCAGGTCTTCACTTCTAGCACTCACTGTCAACTGTGCAGGTCCAGACTGACTTTCGATGAAGCACTGAAAAATGGTGAATATTTGTAATGAGTTTACACTACCTTAAACTACTGCAATACTCTCATTCATCAAGTCAGAAGTTCCACTTTCCTCATGTTTTGAAAGGTCTATTCCATTTTGATATAACAGATTTTTGTTTTGCCACATGCCTTAGTTCACACAGCTTTAAAAAAAACCCTCAAGACTTACCGACAAGTTCAAAGTAACAAATGTTTTCAACAAGCATTTCAAAGTCTAGAAGTCTATTATAGTTCATTTATAATCCAGACTTGCATCCCTTGAAGAGTGTAAAAAAACAGGCTACAATGTAAAAAGTTGCAACAGGAGAGCTATTCCAATAAGTTTCTGAACAAAATCTGGGACCATCTTCTTCCTCTCCCCCTGCCCACCCCAAATATTCACATGTAAATTTTACCTCTTTCCATGTTTACATATATTTTGAATAAACACCTAAAAAGTTGTTGCTCTGTTTTGGCTCAGTGGATCTTCTGTGCAGATATTCAAGTATTAAGAAAATGCAGCTGAACAAGGATATGTGTCCTCATAGTACAGTTTACAGAGAAGCACAATATTGACTAGTCTGCAGTATATTCTACCCCAAATCCCCGAAGAAATCTTTTTAACTTTGGGATCTGTAGCCTGCTTCCAGAGCTGGCGGAGATCATCTACGTGTCCGTGAGATGTCATCATCTTGTTATAAATGCAGGGATGATACGGAGCCTTTCCTTCCCCAGAAAAAAATACATGATATTGTGGTACAATTCCCATTTTATTGGCACAGAGACCCATGAAAACATCATCTATATAAAGACTTGTATTGAGAGTCAGTGAAGCCTCATAGACTTTAGCTGCTACATCATTTGATATTACATATGCAGCTCCTGCTGTGTAGTCAGGGTAAGAGGGCCACTGGTACATTTCATATGGAACATAGTATTTGCTACTCTTGTCTCTTACGGGAGGGGATCCACGATGGACACGACCAATCCAGAGATCCTGAACACCCATTTGTGTTAGACTTTGGAGATAAGCAACAAGATTTGGCATATGGATAAATATATCATCATCTGCAGACATAATGAACCTGGCATGAGGACAGTAGGCATTCACCCAGCTAAACTGCAAAAGCAATTTTAGAGTAAGATTGTGAAAAGTATCCAAGAAGTCTTGCTGAATCAAATCATGGTATTTCTGGTCTTCAAGCTCAAGTTCCCTTTGCTGCCATGTTTTCTGCAGATGGTCTGTTGGTCGTCCTAAAGCAAAAAGAGTTTTAATGTTGGCATTAAGTTGAGAACGAACATACTTCTCATTACCCCAAGTTTGTCTAATTGCATCCCTCCGATGACGGTTTTCAGGAGAAGTCTTCACAAACAATAGGAGAAGGACATCCTGCTGCTGACATTTCTCTCTGTGGTTGATCAAATACTGGTAGCTTGATACTCTGTCCAGGTTATCCCTGCTGATAGACAGGCTGTCATTCACAAAATGGTAGCTATTTATGAGGTATCTGTATGAATAGGACTTCATATGGCTCACAATGTGATTATCAAATGGTCCCCAAAAAATCATGAGACACAGTATGAAGCAAGTGGCAAATATTTGCAAAAAATGGCATTTTCTGACTCTTCTGGGACTAACAAACATTCTGATGCAGTTTTTATAATCCTTATTCTTGTTCAGGATCAGTGTTTTTCAAGTGCCTTTGTTTCTGTTTAAGAGCACAGTGTCACCCCTTCAAGATAAGTGTCCCTTGTAAGGCATGATGTCTTTCACTCAGTATCCTTGTGAAGCCAGCTTTGTTCACAGACTTCATAAGTCATCTTTCTCAAAAAACATTTTTCTTTGATTGAAGGAACACAGGCAGTTTTGAAAGATGAGACTTGCAGATGAGTATTTTCCCTTTGGGGCATCTTGAAACAAACACTGCGGTTCTAATCGGATCTTCTCATGTGTTTCCCTCCTTCATGAAGATTCATGCCAATTCTAATTGGGGGAGAGGAGAAAGGTTTTAGTGAGCTGTTATTAACACACTTGTGATTAGGTTTGGTCATGGAAATGGTTGACTACTCAGACATGCCCCATCAACAGCCACACACCCCCACACCCCCTCCCAGCCCCCAAAAGAAAAAAGTAACCTGCCTGGCAGCAAGTCAGAGGTGATCAGTGGCCCAGAGCAAGCTTGTGGAGGCCAGGGAAGGAGGAACCTGACACAGAAACCTCTTTCTTAGAAATGCCCACCACTGTTAACCGACAGATGGCATTTTATTTAAACTATAAGCTCGGAGAGAGAGGCAGCCTACAAATGTCCCGGGTTACAAATTGCCTTTGGGCGGTCGGTCTGCTAAAGACACAGACCAGGCAGAGCCCCGAGACGGCTCCCGGGGGAGGGAGTGCTGGGTGAGCGCTCCGGCCGGAGCCCTGGCAGCCCTCGGTGTCCCTCACCGCCGTCCCCTTGCCCGCAGAGCTCCATCCCCCCAGCCTCATCCAGCACCTTCCCCCGCGGAGCCCCAGGACGGCCCCGCTGCTCTGCCC